CTAATATTATCCGATGTCAAATTCGATCGAAACACGTCGACTTAAATTTTGTATATTTCTTTTCTTTTTGTGATGTTAATATTTAAAGTTTCATAATTCAATAATTAATTAATCTATACATCGAAGACGCCATCAACATCATTAAAGACGAAAAAGAAAATGATTTCACGGCTCGTTAGAAGACTGAAAAGGACAAAGGATTTAATATAATCGAGCGTTGTAATAAGCTGCTGTTCCCTTAGGTGATAAGAAGCCATAGACTTTATATTTGCCGGGTCCTTCTTTCAAGCCTTTACAAAAGATTACAACTGGGAACACCATAAGGAAGGATTATTGAAGACACATCGCAGGAGTTTAGGACAAACAGGACTATATAATATTGATCTTAATGGAAAGTGTATNGATGTGGGCTGTTCTAGTTTTAGGGAAATGCGAAGTTTAGCTCAGGATAGGAAAGAGTGGAGGTACGTGTCCAACCAGTCTTAGGACTGACGACCTTATGATAATGATGATGAATTCAATAAAACTTATTGGTTGAGAAAATCGCTACAGCGGTTTCTGTACACGTTTACTTTAAAACAAAACAAAATCTATGGGGTTAATTTCACGTCAATTGTGAGTACGCTCACTATTAACCCTTGACCTTAAAATATCGAACGGGTAAACGTATAAGTATAATTGTACATAATGTAAATTCTTCCAAATGGTGCAAGCAATAAAAACGCCACCGTTATTACCGTAATGAGAATTATTTATTTTCTAATTAAATAAAATAACAAAAGTATGACGTAATCTAATTTCCTTATATATACTCACACAGCGGTGGTTGTCGCTTTTCATGTATCCGGGGTAAATCTAATAAACTACAAACAAAGAGATGCCCTAACAGCAAAGAGGCGGTCTGTGTTACGTTTCTTCAAAAGGAAACATAACACGACACAAAAACAATTGACTATGCAGGGAAAACAGTTTTCTTCTTGTTGTGTATAAGGACATTAATAAATGCGCCAGTTTTCGTGTTTTTCCGTAGAATCAATTTGGGGAAGATCGGGTTCGAAATCAAGCATCTAATTAAGTTCGCAAATTGGAAACGCGTTCGGAGTTTCTCGACCATCGAAATGCAACTTTGAAACAAAACTAATTAGACGGGAATGAAGTTACCGCTTTATCTGAAATGTGACAAGATTGCCAACCAAATAGACGTGTACTTTTTGTGTACATGTATTTTGGATCTTCTATTTCAAATACATCAAAACTATTTTTCAATAGACAATAACTTTTCATATGTTAGACGTCGCTTTTAGACAGTTAAAATAAAAACGAACTTTCAAACAACGCCAAAGAAGCACGTCATCGATCATTTTATAATGCCAAAGTCCCGATGGTGAAAGTGTCAGACAGCTTGTCTTGTTCATTGTGTATTGCATTATAAACTTATCTATCAGGGATGACACGTTAAGACATCGCAGGGGTTGAAGAAAAATCCCGATGGGGCGACATTAGAGATTCACGAAACAGTTTGGGTCTGAAAAAATTCATTCGTACATTTGTACTTTCGAATGCTTTTTATATATGTCCATCTCTTTCAGCTTTAAGTCCACTTTAAAATTAACACACAAAATGGTACAACGGAATCTATTATATGTATGTTTGTATTTACACATAAATGTGCAGGTACATATATACATTTACACGTATAAAAGGGGTTCGTCAGGCACAAAGCGCGGCTCCAGCTTCCATGAATCAGTTTTAATTAACCATTGAAAGAATCAGGAACGTTTGATATTTCCGTCATGTCCATTCCCGTACACCATTTAATTCACGTTTATAACGAATGTACTTTTCACATGTTGAAACTAAACATAAAAAATATCGAAGGCAAAAGCATCGTCGATTTTTGATAAGTTAGATAATTCAGGAATCGGGAAGGAATCCATACCTATCCTTCTCCCTTATTACTTTTTGTGCTAGAACGTATGATATACGATGTGGAGCAATTTTTATGCAAAGGTAAATATGTATCATGGACTTTTCAGTCCTTCGCGAACAAAAAGGACAAAGATAGGCAGGCGTCGAGACGCCCTCATAAACCGGCACAATTCGTTGCGCAAATGCCGATGAATATATTCATGACGCCGTATATTTTTCCCGAATTAGAATGACAATACGACACAAGTGCCTTTCTGATATTCCAGAGTCTCCTTCGGAATACGTGTCCGACTCTCGGCGAAATTGAGAAGGAAATAGACAAGTCGAAAGAAATTCGTACAATATTTTTTACTTATTACCGTTATAGGTACCCATGTTAAATAAATTGGTTGCCTTCGGCGTAGTATTTATTCATCGCCAGTAAAATATCAAAGCAAAACACTTGGAACTATTTCTTGTGGCAAAAAGACAATTCAAAATGCGGTCCTCAATACAAAGAGCAAGAGGATCGACATTTATCTTCATTTGGCAACTTTTACAGGTGTAGATACTAAACTAGCACAATAAAACTGTATTTCTTATTTCTAAAGTGTGCTATAATTTGTCGCAATTTTTTTACCAAATCCAAAAATTTGTCGCTGTAGCCGGTCAAAAAAATGGCGTAGATTATAATTTATCGCTGAAAGATGTTATTTCTACACATTTTATCGCAAGTCCGGTCTCCAGCACGTAGCTCCATGGCGTAGAAAAATAGCGTAATTTGTCGCTAAAAAATGGTAAATTTACTCCTTTCTGTAGTACCCTCCAGAAATATACCCTAGAAAAATACTGTGAAGACCATAAATTGTCGATAATTTGAGAGTATATTTCTACCACACTTCTATTTCGAGGAACGCTATGTTTTGTGCGAGCTTGGCAGTTTTTCAATCGTTTTTAGTTGATCAGCTCCAGCGACAAATTATATAGACAAATAACCGGTTGGACCGACAAATTTTTAGATTTGGTACACTTTAAAAATACGAAATACAACTTTGTCGTGTTTACTTGCGATAGTTGAAGTTAAAGACCAAATGCCGAGTGTTGGTATCGTTTTTCGTCCTTTCAGTGGATACCTACACGGGTACACTATAGTTAGCTTGGGCTTTATTAAGTTTTCTCCTATACGGAAAATTGCCAGATGTTGTCAGTCGTTGGGCTCTTAAAACTCGTTATCGCCCTTCGACTCGTTATCGTGGAAAAAATATCGGCTGGCCATTGAACAACGCCATTCGATAACGTAATTAGCACGCCACAAAAAGATAGAATTCGATTAACTTTTAGTTCAGAAGGTGGACGCCTTGACGTCCAACCTGCTGTATTATACGCAGTATTTACGGAAAACCCATTAGAAAGAAAGTCGTCAACGCGACGCACTAATTTCTTCCATCGTTCTATCAGATTAATCTTAAAAATTTACTAAATGAAACTGTGTGTCGATTAAAAATTACTTCTTCATAACAAGTAGGTAGTTATTACAGAGTGATCAAGTTTGAGATCCACTCATGTTATCTTTTCTGTAACAAGATTTTTCGTAAATTTCCGAAAAAACCCCAAGGAAGAATCGTATTTTTTGAGTAGCATACTTTTAATTGAGTAAGAAGCGATTAAGATTTGGTGTAATAGAAAGATGTTAAGAGAAACGTGGATAGAAAGTTACGGGGAACACCATCCCACATCAGACATAAAGGGCTAGTTAGGGATATCATCATCAACATAAGGGCGTCAGTCCTAAGACTGGTTGGACACGTACCTCCACTCTTTCCTATCCTGAGCTAAACTTCGCATTTCCCTTAAACTACAACAATCCTTAACTATTTGCGAATAGTAATATAACCTGGGTCTACCTCTACCCCTCCTAACTCCTGCTTCTGCTTCTAATATGTCTATGACTAGACCTTGATGCCTGAGAAGGTGTCCTACCAACCTATCTCGCCTATTTTTTATTGACTTCTATGGAGTCCTCTGTTCTCCTCCTATTCTTTCTAATAACTCTTCATTTCTACCCACGTTTTCCTCATCATTCGCCTGTAACACCACATTTCGAATGCTTCTAACCTTGATATATTAGAAGCAAAAACAGGAGTAAGCAGGGGCAAAGATAGACCTAAATTAGATTACTGATGCTCGCATATACCTAGTTAGAGATGTTTTAGAGACATTCGAAGAAATGGAGGTACGTGTCCGGTCTTCGGATTGAAGACTTTATAACGATGATACTCCTCTTACCCCTACCCTCCATCATAAAAACGCAATTAATGGAGCCATTATCATATTGTTCAATAGCTTGTCATAGAATGAATATAAAATTACATAATTATACAGTAAAAAGAATAAATATGTAAATTAAGTAATTAACCATTTGAATGTTCGTAAGCACATTGTCATTTCTCTTTTTATAATGCATACAACACCATAAAAATTTTAAGCTTATCTTAAATGACTGACAAATGCTTAATCACAGTTTGTGCATGCACGCAAAGAAAAAATTATTGTTGCACACAAAAAGAAAGGATTTCAATGTTCCCGAAGGTCTAGGCTGCTTATCGTTTTACGTAAAGAAGACATGTCTACATCCAATAAATAAATTGCTGACAAAGAAAAGTGATCCTGCACCGTGCAAGGTCGCAGGATTTGCATTTTCGCCGATTTCGTTAGCTAGGCAACTCAATGCAAAAAAAAAATAATTTAGTACCATTAGTTCCTGTTAATTAACACAACGAACTTCCGAACAGGAAATGATAAACGCTGAGTTAAAGTTTTCACAATTATTCCGAAAAAAGTAAATATGAAATGCGACAATTAAAATTTTGTTTAATATTAAAATAGTAAATTTACTCAGTAAGAAAAGAAAATCAATATAATAGTGGTGAAAACGCAACAATTTCCATTTGTTTGTAAATTAATGTACGTAATAATCATGTATTCTTATAAAAACTGAAAATCCAGCGAAAAATAGACAAAGAAAGTAGTTGACGATTAATAAACAAAGAAAAAGATACCTAAGGATAAGTATGCAAAATAAAAAGACTTACCCTTTTGACTTGGAAGTGTTCGGGTCGAAGAGTCTCCTGGACTTCCTGATCCGCCTTCGCAGGCTGAGCCACCGACGTCCTAAAGTTATCAAGGACGCCTTTCAACGTAAACTTCTTCATTTTAGAAAAACGGAGGCTACTTTAACGCGTTTCAAAGGAACATAACACCCCGACAACACGTAACCGACTGTTTCAAACTATAAGTTAGTGTATTTTATCGCGTTAATAATTACATCATATGGGAACGCTTTTTGACTTTCTGGATGGCCAAACGGAACCGACGAAGGACACAAAGCTTTTGCAATGCGCTAGTTCCAGGATAACATTCGGATGACGGAATCAGGATAACGATCGCACAAAGTGTAGTCACCTCTCACTTTGATGCACGTAATTGAACGCTACCATTTTCCGAGCGCGACGTCTCTGCTTAATTCGAACGACGCGAATTCTGCGCCAAAGGAAAACCGATATCGCGCAAGAAATACATCAACATGCGCAAAATTTAAAATGTTTGGAATGTCTTATTACTCACAGTGCACAAGTAGTCTACAAAAATTAGCGAAAAATCAACGATTTTCGACTGTAATCAGTCAATCGATATGAGACATCACTTACACGATCCCACACATACGTCAAACCTGTAGCCAACCTTCACATAATTAAATCGATCTTATCACAGACACTTTTTTAATTGCATTCCCTTTCTAACAATACAACTAAAGAGAAACAACTGATATTGAAATTTGTGTACGGAAATTGCCGAAAATGCCCGAACACCACACTTCGTGACAACAGGTGATAAATATACAGTCGTTATCACCTCGCTATCTGCTGTTTTTGTTGTCTGTGAAAAACAATTAAAAATTGATAACATAACATAGAAATCTGATGAAAAACATCATTATTTGCAGTGTGTTTAAGCGAATGCCTGGCTTATACAGAACATACAATCCGCTGGCATAAAAATGTTTCGAAAAGTTGTAGTTCGCGGTTGTTCATTAATTGTTTATCAACGACAAAGGGCCCTATCCAAAATAAGGTATGTAATTTTTATTTCTTTTTAATAATAACTTACTGTTAAGGAAAAGCGGCACGTGTAATGAATAAACAGTAGTTTTAACAAATTACGTCAAGTATGTCAACAACTAATAACAATAACTACAGGTGGAAGGTAGACAATCTACCATAACATGACAGTTATGTTGGTTGCATACGTGGTAATAACTTTTAGAATTTAAAAAACTTTGTGTAATCCATAAATAGCCTTTTTTCCTATTAAATTCATTTCTGTTGAGTACATGAAACATATATTTCACTAATTAAATTAATTCCATTGTTCGTTACAGTAAGAATGGATCAAAATTGTTTCTTGCAAGTTTTGCGCTTTTTGGGACCGCGCAGAAACAGGAAATCGACACTTCCAAGTTTATGGCGGAACCCGTAACTTCAGTAGATGTTCTTCTAAAAAATAAGGAGGATATGAAATCTAAAATGGAACTTATGATACTTCAGGTTCAAAAAGAATTCTGTCGTGCCTTAGAAGAAGAAGAAACAGGGTCCCAGCGATTCGTGGTGGACAAATGGTATCGCAAAGAAGGAGGAGGAGGCATAACGTGTGTATTGCAGGATGGCGAGGTTTTTGAAAAGGCTGGCGTTAATATTTCAGTAATTACGGGACTTTTACCCTCTAATATGGCCGCTCAAATGCGATCGCGGGGCAAAAACATCCCTTCCGATGCAAAATTATCTTTCTTCGCAGCCGGAATCAGCTCCGTCATTCACCCCACTAACCCCATGGTGCCCACAGTACACTTTAATTATCGTTACTTCGAAGTGCAAGACTCAGAAGGCGTACAATTCTGGTTCGGAGGGGGCACCGATCTCACCCCTTACTATCTGGACGAAGATGACGTCAAACACTTTCACAAAACATTGAAAAATGCTTGCGACAGCCATGATAACACTTATTATGGTAAATTTAAGAAATGGTGCGACGATTATTTCCATGTCACACACAGAGGCGAAAGGAGAGGGGTGGGAGGATTATTTTTCGACGATCTGGACGGTCCCACCAAAGAACAGGCCTTCAACTTTGTCAAAGATTGCGCCAACAGCGTGATACCCTCCTATGTTCCACTAGGTACTATAGTTGTTAAGCATAGACATACTATACGTTTTGATATCATTTTCCACTTATTTTCAGTTAAAAAACATAAAAATGATAAATTTACCGAAGAGGAAAAGACATGGCAGCAACTACGACGGGGACGTTATGTAGAATTCAATTTGATATACGACAGAGGCACAAAATTTGGACTCTACACTCCTGGGGCTCGTTATGAAAGTATACTGATGTCTCTGCCACTAACTGCAGTATGAAAACTAGCAACTATCAGTTTTCAATGAGATTTTAACGTACTTTACTGATTGTTCCAGCGCTGGGAGTACATGCACAAGCCAGCCAGGGATTCCCGGGAGGAGAAACTCGTTGAAGTATTGAAGAACCCAAGGGATTGGCTGTGAATAAGAATGTAATTAGAAGAGTTGGTTATAATTAATGGGTGTTATGGTGACGTTTAAATAAAAGGTTTTTGTAATCTATGGTGTAGTAGAACCCCACCTAACCCAGTGCTCTGCTGTGTCGTCCGGTGCAAGAAATAACGCTGTATAATGTCTTTCTGTGTACCAAAACGTTTACGATTCTAAATAAGAAAAGTCTTGGTTCTATTTTGTTTCTACATCTACCATCAATGAAAAAAAAAAAAAGCAGGGAGAGATGTCCAATTAAAATTCATAAATCGATATGATTTTCAAATCGAAAGTTTGGCGCCAAGAGCTAACTTCAACGCACACTTTTCAAATGTTTTACAGAAAATTGCATAATGTCCCATATCTATGGTAATGTCTGTTTTCAGTCCGTATCTATGGTGTGTATAATTATAAATTGATCATAAACAAACTCTTTTCATTTAGGAGCAGTTTAATGAAATTTATCTATTTTTATGCCAAAATATATTACAGTATTATGATTTAAAGATTTGGAACTGTTCGTTTAATCGTAAGTGATTTTTATAGTATGACAAAGTCCGTGATAACGAATGGAATAAGAAAAACTTATTACCTGTAAGAAGAGATTCAAAAAGTGAAATAAAATAAAATACCATTAAAAAATAAGAATGAATAATCTACTAATCAAGAATATTCAACTGACTAAGACGTGCAGAACTTGCTTGCAGTCATCTGACGAAATGTTTTCGTTATTTACTAAAATAGAAAATAACCTAGAAAAGTCAATGTATATTTACGAATGCATAATGAGTATATCGTGTATGAAGGTAATTTACATTTATGTTCATTTAAAAACATAGAGAACGAAGACATCACTATCTGACTGAAACAATGTAATGTTACAGATTCTTCCAAATGATGGTTTACCCTCGATGATTTGTACAACATGTCTGGAGCTAGCTCACACTGCCTTCAAGTTCCAACAGCAATGCAATCGTTCCTATGAAATTCTGGAGTATTATTCTGCAGAAATACAAAGCAATTTATGTGATAAAAAGCCATCAAATTGGGTAAATACGTTGGACTACAGAAATACTGAACAACCCTCAGAAATTGCTTGTGTATCTAGTAATGAATTATTCATTGAAACAATTAAAGAAGAAGACTTCAAAGTAATAGATAAATGCCACGTTGACACTGTTATAGAAGCAGATGAAGATCAGAATTCAAAAGGCTTGGAACTTATTAATAGTCAAAAAAAGAGCGTACGACCAAAGGGAAGACGTATTGAGAGGGTAAGGGGAATTTTAAGTATAGTATTTTGAAAGAGTCTTTCTACATGTACTTGCAGCAGATAACATGTAACCAGTGCGGTAAGCAATTCAAGCATATAAGCACATTAAAAGTACACATGAGCATTCACANATAACAACTGTTAAAGTGAGGTTAGGATTTTTAAAAAAATATTTACAAATGGAAGGGAATTTTCGCCATTGCTGAAGTTACTGTTGGCAATGAAATTCCCCAAAATTTTTGAATTTTTTTTATAACCTGGAAGTTTAACGACAGTTAATTTTGGTTTAAAAAGATTATTTTCATAGTTTTCGTGGTCGAAAGAAGTAGCAAGAAACAACAAGTAAACAAGTTAGTTCTTACAAATATGGAAACCTGAGAAGTAAGGGGGCCCCTCCACATCTGGGAAGAAAACCAGGTAAAGAAACTGATTGTCCATTAAGTATAGAACAACATTTAGAAGTATATTTCAAGAATACAAAGAAGATATTAATACATAAGGTTAGACATTTTATTAATTTAAAATTAACTACAAATAGACACATATATAGTTGATTCAAATACATTTAATTCTTTCCGGGAATTTGCGATAATTGTCTCAGTTGTTTTAATACAGTTTCAAGCAGTTTCTTCTTGTCTCTTTCGCTCTTTTTCAAAACTGCAAACATCGTTTTCTTGTCACCCTCTCTCAGTCTATAATGATTTAAAAGAATTAAAAATATTGAAAACTACTTTTTCATACTTACTTTTCCAAAATAATTATAGCAACGTCTGGACTGACTTGTTTGTATTTGTTTGTTTCCTTTCCATAGTCGTGGAAGTACGTAGGCCAGTCCCACGACGTGACCAGGTCTAACAGCTCCCTCAATTTAGTAAAATAAGCAAGTAGCACGTCCTGCGGCAATCCTTTTACAGGTTCAGAAGCAGCGAATACTGTATCAGTAACAAATTTTTAGTGTTATGTATTTAGAAAGAAGCTGTTATCACATACGTTCACACTGCAAAAGGTCGAGATTGATCTGGTTTAAGGCCCCCATCGACATCTGCTTGATTTCGTCGTTTAGGAGCACTTCCAGCATAGAATTAGCTATGTGTTCGCAGGCGGACTTGCAAGCCAGTTGAGCTACTTCAGCCTAAACGGAAATTTACGGTTAATACTTACATAGTTTAGTAATACTTTTTATTTGAAGTAGGCCTCTAACTCACTGGAAGATTGGTGAAGCTGTGAAACGTCGTTTGCAGAAAAGCGATCATGTCAGAGATGAAACTGGACGCGTGCCCTTGAGGCTCCACAAGGAGCCAGTCGTAACTCTCTAGTTCCAAGAATTCATTTAGTTTTTGTCGTAATTTTTCGCAAATTTGTTTAACAGCATCCTCTCGGGCTACTCTAAACATAGCTGGCTGTCCCTGTACTATTCCAGTGGTCACGCCTTGTGTCTCTTCCCTTCAACAAGCAGAAAGCCCACTTTAAAATCTTTAAGGACCAAATAGTAGTGTAGTTGTTTTACCCCGTTATGTTGGAAATAAATTGATCTAGATAAACCGTTGCCTCTTCTAGATAACCGGTATCTATAATTATCTGAATAATTTCCTGAAGATTTACGTGGGGACTGCGGAAAGTGGAAGAAAGACAACCGCTGAAGCTTCTGGTTAGGAGTAAGTTCATAGATTTTCTTATCATTTCGTCTACTTCCACTTGACTGCAAAAAAAAACCAATTAAAATTATAAAATATATGAACGTGAATAGTTTTACCTCAGGTTTAAGTCCTCTGAAAATTTAAGGCAGGCATAAATGAACTCTTTCACCTGTTGATAGACTTTAGGTACCATGCTAGAAAATGGGAAATTATAGGGAAATGTAATGTCGTCAGGTAGATCAGCATCCCAAGGGAATGAAAGCAAAACTGTGTCGTACNAAACGCAACAATTTCCATTTGTTTGTAAATTAATGTACGTAATAATCATGTATTCTTATAAAAACTGAAAATCCAGCGAAAAATAGACAAAGAAAGTAGTTGACGATTAATAAACAAAGAAAAAGATACCTAATGATAAGTATGCAAAATAAAAAGACTTACCCTTTTGACTTGGAAGTGTTCGGGTCGAAGAGTCTCCTGGACTTCCTGATCCGCCTTCGCAGGCTGAGCCACCGACGTCCTAAAGTTATCAAGGACGCCTTTCAACGTAAACTTCTTCATTTTCGAAAAACGGAGGCTACTTTAACGCGTTTCAAAGGAACATAACACCCCGACAACACGTAACCGACTGTTTCAAACTATAAGTTAGTGTATTTTATCGCGTTAATAATTACATCATATGGGAACGCTTTTTGACTTTCTGGATGGCCAAACGGAACCGACGAAGGACACAAAGCTTTTGCAATGCGCTAGTTCCAGGATAACATTCGGATGACGGAATCAGGATAACGATCGCACAAAGTGTAGTCACCTCTCACTTTGATGCACGTAATTGAACGCTACCATTTTCCGAGCGCGACGTCTCTGCTTAATTCGAACGACGCGAATTCTGCGCCAAAGGAAAACCGATATCGCGCAAGAAATACATCAACATGCGCAAAATTTAAAATGTTTGGAATGTCTTATTACTCACAGTGCACAAGTAGTCTACAAAAATTAGCGAAAAATCAACGATTTTCGACTGTAATCAGTCAATCGATATGAGACATCACTTACACGATCCCACACATACGTCAAACCTGTAGCCAACCTTCACATAATTAAATCGATCTTATCACAGACACTTTTTTAATTGCATTCCCTTTCTAACAATACAACTAAAGAGAAACAACTGATATTGAAATTTGTGTACGGAAATTGCCGAAAATGCCCGAACACCACACTTCGTGACAACAGGTGATAAATATACAGTCGTTATCACCTCGCTATCTGCTGTTTTTGTTGTCTGTGAAAAACAATTAAAAATTGATAACATAACATAGAAATCTGATGAAAAACATCATTATTTGCAGTGTGTTTAAGCGAATGCCTGGCTTATACAGAACATACAATCCGCTGGCATAAAAATGTTTCGAAAAGCTGTAGTTCGCGGTTGTTCATTAATTGTTTATCAACGACAAAGGGCCCTATCCAAAATAAGGTATGTAATTTTTATTTCTTTTTAATAATAACTTACTGTTAAGGAAAAGCGGCACGTGTAATGAATAAACAGTAGTTTTAACAAATTACGTCAAGTATGTCAACAACTAATAACAATAACTACAGGTGGAAGGTAGACAATCTACCATAACATGACAGTTATGTTGGTTGCATACGTGGTAATAACTTTTAGAATTTAAAAAACTTTGTGTAATCCATAAATAGCCTTTTTTCCTATTAAATTCATTTCTGTTGAGTACATGAAACATATATTTCACTAATTAAATTAATTCCATTGTTCGTTACAGTAAGAATGGATCAAAATTGTTTCTTGCAAGTTTTGCGCTTTTTGGGACCGCGCAGAAACAGGAAATCGACACTTCCAAGTTTATGGCGGAACCCGTAACTTCAGTAGATGTTCTTCTAAAAAATAAGGAGGATATGAAATCTAAAATGGAACTTATGATACTTCAGGTTCAAAAAGAATTCTGTCGTGCCTTAGAAGAAGAAGAAACAGGGTCCCAGCGATTCGTGGTGGACAAATGGTATCGCAAAGAAGGAGGAGGAGGCATAACGTGTGTATTGCAGGATGGCGAGGTTTTTGAAAAGGCTGGCGTTAATATTTCAGTAATTACGGGACTTTTACCCTCTAATATGGCCGCTCAAATGCGATCGCGGGGCAAAAACATCCCTTCCGATGCAAAATTATCTTTCTTCGCAGCCGGAATCAGCTCCGTCATTCACCCCACTAACCCCATGGTGCCCACAGTACACTTTAATTATCGTTACTTCGAAGTGCAAGACTCAGAAGGCGTACAATTCTGGTTCGGAGGGGGCACCGATCTCACCCCTTACTATCTGGACGAAGATGACGTCAAACACTTTCACAAAACATTGAAAAATGCTTGCGACAGCCATGATAACACTTATTATGGTAAATTTAAGAAATGGTGCGACGATTATTTCCATGTCACACACAGAGGCGAAAGGAGAGGGGTGGGAGGATTATTTTTCGACGATCTGGACGGTCCCACCAAAGAACAGGCCTTCAACTTTGTCAAAGATTGCGCCAACAGCGTGATACCCTCCTATGTTCCACTAGGTACTATAGTTGTTAAGCATAGACATACTATACGTTTTGATATCATTTTCCACTTATTTTCAGTTAAAAAACATAAAAATGATAAATTTACCGAAGAGGAAAAGACATGGCAGCAACTACGACGGGGACGTTATGTAGAATTCAATTTGATATACGACAGAGGCACAAAATTTGGACTCTACACTCCTGGGGCTCGTTATGAAAGTATACTGATGTCTCTGCCACTAACTGCAGTATGAAAACTAGCAACTATCAGTTTTCAATGAGATTTTAACGTACTTTACTGATTGTTCCAGCGCTGGGAGTACATGCACAAGCCAGCCAGGGATTCCCGGGAGGAGAAACTCGTTGAAGTATTGAAGAACCCAAGGGATTGGCTGTGAATAAGAATGTAATTAGAAGAGTTGGTTATAATTAATGGGTGTTATGGTGACGTTTAAATAAAAGGTTTTTGTAATCTATGGTGTAGTAGAACCCCACCTAACCCAGTGCTCTGCTGTGTCGTCCGGTGCAAGAAATAACGCTGTATAATGTCTTTCTGTGTACCAAAACGTTTACGATTCTAAATAAGAAAAGTCTTGGTTCTATTTTGTTTCTACATCTACCATCAATGAAAAAAAAAAAAAGCAGGGAGAGATGTCCAATTAAAATTCATAAATCGATATGATTTTCAAATCGAAAGTTTGGCGCCAAGAGCTAACTTCAACGCACACTTTTCAAATGTTTTACAGAAAATTGCATAATGTCCCATATCTATGGTAATGTCTGTTTTCAGTCCGTATCTATGGTGTGTATAATTATAAATTGATCATAAACAAACTCTTTTCATTTAGGAGCAGTTTAATGAAATTTATCTATTTTTATGCCAAAATATATTACAGTATTATGATTTAAAGATTTGGAACTGTTCGTTTAATCGTAAGTGATTTTTATAGTATGACAAAGTCCGTGATAACGAATGGAATAAGAAAAACTTATTACCTGTAAGAAGAGATTCAAAAAGTGAAATAAAATAAAATACCATTAAAAAATAAGAATGAATAATCTACTAATCAAGAATATTCAACTGACTAAGACGTGCAGAACTTGCTTGCAGTCATCTGACGAAATGTTTTCGTTATTTACTAAAATAGAAAATAACCTAGAAAAGTCAATGTATATTTACGAATGCATAATGAGTATATCGTGTATGAAGGTAATTTACATTTATGTTCATTTAAAAACATAGAGAACGAAGACATCACTATCTGACTGAAACAATGTAATGTTACAGATTCTTCCAAATGATGGTTTACCCTCGATGATTTGTACAACATGTCTGGAGCTAGCTCACACTGCCTTCAAGTTCCAACAGCAATGCAATCGTTCCTATGAAATTCTGGAGTATTATTCTGCAGAAATACAAAGCAATTTATGTGATAAAAAGCCATCAAATTGGGTAAATACGTTGGACTACAGAAATACTGAACAACCCTCAGAAATTGCTTGTGTATCTAGTAATGAATTATTCATTGAAACAATTAAAGAAGAAGACTTCAAAGTAATAGATAAATGCCACGTTGACACTGTTATAGAAGCAGATGAAGATCAGAATTCAAAAGGCTTGGAACTTATTAATAGTCAAAAAAAGAGCGTACGACCAAAGGGAAGACGTATTGAGAGGGTAAGGGGAATTTTAAGTATAGTATTTTGAAAGAGTCTTTCTACATGTACTTGCAGCAGATAACATGTAACCAGTGCGGTAAGCAATTCAAGCATATAAGCACATTAAAAGTACACATGAGCATTCACAGTCAGGATCGACCACATGTTTGCCAGACTTGTGGGAAATCTTTTAAACAGCATGGCTCTCTCCTTTATCATCTCAGGAGCCACACAGGAGAGCAGCCCTACGTCTGCAACATATGTGGTAAAAAGTAAGAACACAGCAAATAATAGTTCACCAGTTTAACCGCTTTTCTTTTTCAGATACAAACAATCTGGCACCTTAACAGCCCATATGCGTATTCATACAGGTCAGAAGCCCTATCTGTGCTCCGTATGCGGTCGAGGCTTTAGGTGACCTATCAGGAAACATAAATTTCTTGATATTAATCATATTTTTGTACAGGCAAGCACCAGATCTGAGTTATCATATGCGAACCCATACAAAAGAAAGACCTTACATGTGCAACGTATGTGGTAAAACCATGAGAATGCAATGCCATTTGGTGCAGCACATGAGGACCCACACTGGTGAAAAACCTTTCAAATGCACGTAAGTTTACCATTTGATTATTAATAATAAATTTTTGAGAACGCTGTCCACTTTAATGTATTATTAATGTTTCCTCGTTTGCTTTTAGACAATGTGACAAGGCATTCCCCTCTTCTACGAGACTGAAAAGACATACGGTGGTCCACACGGGGCTGAAACCCTACACTTGTGACGTTTGCCACAAATCATTCAATAGAAGTAGCACTTTAAACACCCATGCGAAAATTCACACCGACGAAAGGCCCCACCTTTGTTCCGTATGTAACAAGGGCTTTATACAAGCTCATGCCCTTCGTGCGCACTTGTTAACGCACAAAACTACTGATCCCCCAGAAGAATTACCTTCGAAATTGTTAGTTTTTGTGATGGACTAAATTGTAATTTAAAATTACCTGTATATGTACATGGTATGTGCACCTGCGTGATTTCTAAGTATGTAAATTACAAATTGAAAAAGATAAAGAACGTAAAGTAAAAACCCTCTTTCTTTCGGCAGTTACATACTTTTTGAAGGAAACTTTTGTGCAATATTAATTTAAATAATATTGCACATTCAGAGGTTTATCATGTATATGTATATTTGTAGGAAGGGGCTTTAAAAAGATAAGAAGCTAATATACAAAAAACGAATATTATTCTAAATAATTTTCTTGAGGATTCACAATTTTTTAATTATTCTTGATGTAACTTCATGCTTGTTCTAATATTAGGCTCAGAATAGCTTGATAGACAAAAAGTATTTAAATTAACACACGTTATACTAAGTTTTAACGACACCCTGTATATGAAATTCCTTTGTTAGTTCTTCAATGTCATGGCCGTAATAGAGGGCGCATTTTCAAAATAAGTAGAAAACAAATTCAAAGGATTAATACAAAAAAAACAATGCCAAATGATGAAAGATTTCTTGTAAGTGGCTGGGAAGATGATTTAAATGATATAGATTACGAGAAGCATCCTCATGGTAAGTAATTATGGTCGGTAGATTATGTTCTTGTTTTGAAACATCAATTTTAGAAACACCAGAGAAAGAAATACTTTGGGCTGCAGAAAATGGGGAGCTAGAAGTCGTTAAGTCTCTAGTTTTGAAGGATCCCGGTTTGGTAAATGTCGCTGACAAGGATGGGTACACACCACTTCATCGGGCATGTTATAATAATCATGTGGAAGTAGTGGAATTTCTTTTGGAAAATGGGGCTGATATTTCTGCAAAAACACTTATGTTGTGGCAGCCTCTGCATTCGGCTTGCCAATGGAACCATAAAGAGTGTGTTTTACGATTAATTCAGCACGGTGCTGATGTAAATGCAGCTAGTGAAGGAGGTACTTTCTGTTGGTAGATTTATTATTATCATAAGTATCCAAAAAAATTCTTTTAGGACAAACACCTCTACATATAGCAACTTCTCATGGTACTTCATATGAATCAGTCCAGTTACTGTTAATGCATCCATATATAAATCCAAATATTCTTAACAATAATAAGGAGACCCCATTTGATATTGCTAAAAGAGCCTCAAATTACTATAAGATGTTTGAAATGACGAATCCTGCATTTAATGGAATAAGAAAGACTACAGGAAATATAAAATAAAAGTCATAAAAATAAAATGAAATCGTCAATATTAGAAATAGAAGCACAGGTAAAAGTTAAGTCAAAATTTTTAACACAAAAAGAGACAAGTACAAATATTTATTTTGAAAGCTTGTTTTTTAAAGTAGTTTGGTCCTTTTCAGTGTTTTAATTAATAAATGTTCCAATCTTAAGATGTAGCATTGTTTTAATTTTATAGTTTACATTTAGTGGTAGTTTAAATAGCTTTCTCTGTAGATACAATGAACAACAACTGAAAAGGACGGTTATTATGAACTACCACTGTCCTACTGACATTTACACAGTTGAAGGTCATTACGTCTATGGTCATTACTTAACCTTCGTTTAACTATCATCTATGACTTTATTCATATTCATAGATTAGAGACATAGAGATATAAAATATTTTATACACTGACCTCCTGACCATTGAAGTGGAGGGGTATCTGTAGTCTAGTTCAATGGTCTTGACATTTAGACAGTTGAAGGTTATTACGTCTATGGTCATTACTTAACCGTCGTTTAACTATCATCTATGACTTTATTCATATTCATAGATAGAGACATAGAGATATAAAATACTTTATACACTATAGTCTCTTATCTATATTCATGTATTTATTTTTAGGTTAATTGTAAAATATTAAATATGCAATCATGAGTAATACCGAGGAAGAAATACAAGAAGTGTTATTAACATTTAGAGCAGGTATTGACAAAATAGAAGAAAAAGTTAATAATTTATTGTCTAAAGAGGAATACCAAAAGCTATCTTTGTATGACAAAGTACAGTATGATATCTTCACAGTGTACAGTTTGAATACGTTGTTTTGGTTGTATTTACGTACAAATGGCTTGGATCCTAACGAAAATGATATTAAAAATGAATTAAGCAGAATTAAGCAGTATATGATCAAAGCAAAAGAGGTAAATAATTGAACTTTGCATTAAGCATTATCACTTACAGGAATTTACTTTGTAAGGCTCAAGATCGCAACACTATCAGACCAACAGTTGATAAAGGTGCTGCTGGAAGATTTATAAAGCATGGAATTCAATATAAGGACACGGCAAGAGAAACAATTGAACCACCAGCGAAGAGACAAAAAGTCAATAATTAAATTGCTTATAAGTATTTTGTAAATTACATTTTATTAACAATTACATTAATAAACTCTATACATAGAGTTCACAGTTATCATGCCTTACTCTAGTAAAATTATGTAAAACACAAGCTGCACTAATCACTAATGTAGAAAATTGTGGTGATAAATCATTCACAGCTGTCAATCTTGGAAATCTGTTTTCTAAATATGCAAGAGTCCTTTCAACTGTGACCATTACAGAACTATGCAGCATATTAAAATCAAACTGGTCTTTGGTCAGTTGCTCATTACTTTTGAGTTTGTATGGGGTGAGTAATGTAGAAATAAGCGGATGTTCGGTGCCTCCAAGGATGTGTTTATTGTTTTTCACCAGATAACTATCCTTATCAGTCAATATACGGAAAAGGGGACTGCATTGGAGTATAGAAGCAATACTTTTACCACCTGGACACCCTACACAAACGTCCCTTAGGAGTAAATTATTATCACAAACAACTTGCAGCACAATTGAATCATCTCCCATTTTTGGATTATAGTAAATATACTTATTAGAACATTTTTCAGCATTTACAGTGATGTAAAGACTTCCTATAACACCAAGTACATCTGGAAAACCAAATTCTGATGCAAACCCATTTTCTATTTGTTTACATTCTGTTTCTGTGGGCCAAACGATATACTTGGGTGCAATCTTTAAAATCTTGTGGAAATAAAGTTCGAGTTTTTTATAAACATTTTCGGTAATTCCAAATAGCTTCTTGGCTTCCTCAAAAGGTTCAGTATTGCCCAAAATCCAGATAGAAGCTAGGAGATTACTATTAACGTTTTCATTGTACTGATCTTCCACAACGTCAATTTCAGCTTGAAGACTTGTAAAAGTGTCACGACTCATACGAAATGTTGCTTGAAATTCGTCATTTGTTAAATAATCCCACCAAGAGTGTATATCTACTTTTATTTCCATTTTTGCTTAATAACAACTGTTAAAGTGAGGTTAGGATTTTTAAAAAAATATTTACAAATGGAAGGGAATTTTCGCCATTGCTGAAGTTACTGTTGGCAATGAAATTCCCCAAAATTTTTGAATTTTTTTTATAACCTGGAAGTTTAACGACAGTTAATTTTGGTTTAAAAAGATTATTTTCATAGTTTTCGTGGTCGAAAGAAGTAGCAAGAAACAACAAGTAAACAAGTTAGTTCTTACAAATATGGAAACCTGAGAAGTAAGGGGGCCCCTCCACATCTGGGAAGAAAACCAGGTAAAGAAACTGATTGTCCATTAAGTATAGAACAACATTTAGAAGTATATTTCAAGAATACAAAGAAGGTATTAATACATAAGGTTAGACATTTTATTAATTTAAAATTAACTACAAATAGACACATATATAGTTGATTCAAATACATTTAATTCTTTCCGGGAATTTGCGATAATTGTCTCAGTTGTTTTAATACAGTTTCAAGCAGTTTCTTCTTGTCTCTTTCGCTCTTTTTCAAAACTGCAAACATCGTTTTCTTGTCACCCTCTCTCAGTCTATAATGATTTAAAAGAATTAAAAATATTGAAAACTACTTTTTCATACTTACTTTTCCAAAATAATTATAGCAACGTCTGGACTGACTTGTTTGTATTTGTTTGTTTCCTTTCCATAGTCGTGGAAGTACGTAGGCCAGTCCCACGACGTGACCAGGTCTAACAGCTCCCTCAATTTAGTAAAATAAGCAAGTAGCACGTCCTGCGGCAATCCTTTTACAGGTTCAGAAGCAGCGAATACTGTATCAGTAACAAATTTTTAGTGTTATGTATTTAGAAAGAAGCTGTTATCACATACGTTCACACTGCAAAAGGTCGAGATTGATCTGGTTTAAGGCCCCCATCGACATCTGCTTGATTTCGTCGTTTAGGAGCACTTCCAGCATAGAATTAGCTATGTGTTCGCAGGCGGACTTGCAAGCCAGTTGAGCTACTTCAGCCTAAACGGAAATTTACGGTTAATACTTACATAGTTTAGTAATACTTTTTATTTGAAGTAGGCCTCTAACTCACTGGAAGATTGGTGAAGCTGTGAAACGTCGTTTGCAGAAAAGCGATCATGTCAGAGATGAAACTGGACGCGTGCCCTTGAGGCTCCACAAGGAGCCAGTCGTAACTCTCTAGTTCCAAGAATTCATTTAGTTTTTGTCGTAATTTTTCGCAAATTTGTTTAACAGCATCCTCTCGGGCTACTCTAAACATAGCTGGCTGTCCCTGTACTATTCCAGTGGTCACGCCTTGTGTCTCTTCCCTTCAACAAGCAGAAAGCCCACTTTAAAATCTTTAAGGACCAAATAGTAGTGTAGTTGTTTTACCCCGTTATGTTGGAAATAAATTGATCTAGATAAACCGTTGCCTCTTCTAGATAACCGGTATCTATAATTATCTGAATAATTTCCTGAAGATTTACGTGGGGACTGCGGAAAGTGGAAGAAAGACAACCGCTGAAGCTTCTGGTTAGGAGTAAGTTCATAGATTTTCTTATCATTTCGTCTACTTCCACTTGACTGCAAAAAAAAACCAATTAAAATTATAAAATATATGAACGTGAATAGTTTTACCTCAGGTTTAAGTCCTCTGAAAATTTAAGGCAGGCATAAATGAACTCTTTCACCTGTTGATAGACTTTAGGTACCATGCTAGAAAATGGGAAATTATAGGGAAATGTAATGTCGTCAGGTAGATCAGCATCCCAAGGGAATGAAAGCAAAACTGTGTCGTACTGTTCTTGATTTTCGACCTTTAAACAGAGAATATTATGAAACGACATTTGTAAATCGTTATGGTGCTAATTTTTCCAACCTTAATAGGCTGGAACGATTCCTTTGACAAAATTTCCCTGAACACCTGAACCCATCGTTGCATAAGGACTTCAGTGTAGTGATCGCGTAACTCCCTCACTAACTCCCACAGGGGTTTCACCGTGTATCCGTAATTCCTCAGAGTAGTGGAAAATAACATGATAAGATCTTTTATGTTAAGGATTAAAGTTGCATCAGTGCAATAAGCCTGTAAAGAAAATATAAAGTAAAACAATTATTAATTGATATTTGTCTTTTTCATTTACAGAGTGAGTTTGAAGGGCAGAAACGATCTTGGAAAGTGCCATGGTCCACATTTCGTCCAGGAAAGCCCTTGTAATGAGCCCATTTCCGGTGTTCAATACATGATCTTCCAATATGAAAAAGCCCAATACTGCGTGGATGTAAAATCGGTAACTTTCTAATGATTCATGCTAAAAATTACGTAGTAGAAATAATTTTGTAAACGATTTTTTAATCTTTACCATATTTGTCGGGGGTTGAAGGACTAGTCTGGCTTGTTTAGTCCTTTCAGCCCTGTAATATGTCTCAAAAGTAGATCTCGATCCTAAGACTGCCGAGATATGAAGGCATCTATAGATAGGGGAAAAGTCTATCATTTCTTGTGCACTGAGATCTTCTTCTGAAGACAATCCACTTCCTAATATATGCAAAACATTATTATTTAATTTATACTTTTGGGTTTATTCTAATGAAATTGATACCTGGGGGCTGAGGTGCAGGACGTTTCTTTTTCCTTCCGAAAAGTGTAGGATCATTTGCTAATTGTTCATCTGTCTGAAAAGGTAAATTAATCAATTAATTGTTTTGTTGATGTTTTTTTACTTACGTGTCTCATTGCAACTTCCCCTATTCTAGGTGAATATCGTCGTATATTTTCCAAAAAATCTTTTAAATCAGACATAGATGCCTTCTCAATATTTTCTCTAATTCTGAAATTATAAAAAAAATATGATGTTATCTGATATTTCAAATCTACTATATAATATTTACTTTGGAATGTTTTCTTTAAGTTGAGCAGAAAACCTGTAATTGGCAACATGTGGAAGATGTGTATGTTCTAATTCTTCCAACGTTTTCAATGCAGGATAGTACCTAAAATTATCCATTCACATTGATACCTTAAAATCTAAATGGTTTAAGTACTACCTTTTCTCACTGATTTGCTTCTTAAGTTTTGAGTAAGTTGCTAGTACAGGTAGACATAAATTTAACTGTGATATTACTGTTGCTATATTGTTTTCAACCTTCCTGGCATTCAGGAGTTCAGATCCAGACTTTGTAATGTTCTCAGCAGCAGTTTTCAGCTGCTTATCAACAGCAACAACTTCATTCTAAAATTTACCTATTAATTAGAATTATCTATTTTGAAAAACTTACTGATTTACATTGAGTTTCTTGGCTTGTGAGCGTACTTCAAGTAATTCTCTAATAGAGTCAATGAAACCTTGATAGTAAATATTGCAAAGCCTCTCTATATCCCTGTCGTGATGTTTGATTCTTTCTTCTAATTTCTCTTTAAATTCCACATACTCTTCATTATCATAAACCACTCTGTAAGTTTGCTAGCGTAATTTTGAGTCAAAAATATTATTTTAAGTACCTGAATGTTGGGCCCCAGTAGTCGTCGATGCCCTCGATCTCTTGGATGTATAGATCATGTTGCATTCTCGAAGATTGTTGCAAATTTTCAGATTTTTCGTTTTTGTTCAACATTTTGACGTTTAAACGTCAAAATTTGAGGTTAAGTAATCACACATAAATATATAACCTTGAAAGTGTAAAAAAGAGGTAAAGACCATAGGCGGGTAAATATGGGTTAATTTTAAAAATAAATTAGATTTATTTATTTGATTTTAGTACACAGTTTGAATATTAGTATAAATTAAAAAAAATCGTGGTAACGGTACCAATGAAAGAGAGAAAATCAAAACCTTGCTCTTTATTGTCGTTCAATTTTACNACGGCCCTGTTTCTCCAGGTAATTTTATTTATTAAGATTTATTTCAGTAGTTTGCGAATAAAAAAGTTTTTACAGAAATAAAAAACCTAAACATACATAAATAAGTACAGACATTTAAAAATTATTGCTGTGTTAGTACGTAATAGATAAACTGCTTTGCAATTACCAATTATGAAAATAAGTTAAACCTATACAAATGAAACCATAACAATTAACAAATATAATTTATTAATATTCAGTTTTTTTACAAATAGGAAGTAGACACAACACACCAAATACAACTTCGGCGGTTTGAAAACAAAGTTGAATTGTGCACATGATGTATTCCAGTCTAAGAACTAAACTTTGCCACAGCATGAAATAGAAAACTCCCATAATAGAAGGAAGAGTTAATAAAATAGCTATTAAAACGGTCCAGTCTAAAACGGAAGGCGAATGTTTGGTGAGTAATAGTAATTTTTTAAATTCATATTTTAATTAATTATTATTAATAAGCGGTACGTCAAATGTAAACTAAATACACTCACTGCTCTCTGTAAGATTGCCTTTTCTGCCTAAAACGACTCTTATCAGTTCTAATCCACAAATGGCCATAAGTATTCCAAAGTCAGTCCAAATGTTAGGGAGGGTCAAATTAATTGCCTTTACGATATTTATACCGATTTCGCAAACAGAAAACAATCCGAAATAATACGAATTTAAATATAACAGAACTTCAAACGTTAACGACGTATTCATTATAGGTAATTAATTTTACATTTTTTACGTGACACTTTAGTGTTTGTAGAGCTTAGGAAAAGTTCCTCTCTCTCTATTATATCTCCTTGATACAAAATCAATATCAATACAAACAAATGGTTGGATTGAGGTGCCTTCAACAAGAAGCAGAAATTATAGAGTTAATTTAGAAAACTTTTATTTATCCTCATAAGTACTTATTTTGTTTACAAACATAAGAGAATACGTAACTGTAAAAATTCATATAAACTGTTAGGCATTTATATACATATTAAATTGTTATACAGGGTGTCTCACGACAGTGTTACAAAATCATTGCAAAAAAATGAATTCACTTTGATAAAAGGACAGCACCAGCAGCAAAAATCAACATTTGTTACAAATGCACATGTTAGGACGTTGATAAAAGTGTAAACTATTGAATAAGTACTACTCTTAAACTTGGCGAAATTTAGGAACTGTTGAAAAAAATTTTTGTGTATTTGTTTTACGAAACTTTCTTGAGTACAGGCATGGAAACAGTTTTGACTTCAAGATAAGGCAGAAGCCCGTAGTATCCCCCTTCTCTTCCTATTCCAGAATTTTTGTAGCCGCCAAAAGGCGATTGCAACCCTGACGCTAAATAGCAATTTACCCAAACACTGCCTGCTTTTAATCTTGGTACGATGTAATTGATTTTGTCAACGTCGTTGGAAAAAACGCCTGCAGCAAGTCCATACTCGGACTGGTTGGCTCTTTTGATAGCCTCGTCTATGTCGTCAAACTTAAGGATCTGCTGAACCGGTCCAAAAATCTTGATAAAATATTTTTACTTAATTAGTACAAATATCTAATTTTAAAACAATAACGTAGTAGATATACATACTTCTTCTTTGGCAATAGTGTGATTGTCCTGGACGTCTGCAAAGACGGTGGGCTCCACAAAATATCCTGTCTTTCCAACCCTGTTGCCCCCAGCTACAAGTCGTGCACCTTCCTTTACACCCAAGCTAATGTAATTGAGGATTCGATTCATTTGAGTTTCGTCAATTTGTGCACCGTGTTGGGTCTCTTGGTCAAACGGATCTCCTATTTTAATTGTCTTTGCTCGTTCGGCGGACCTTACGTGAAACAAAGTAGTTCAATTTTATGTACCTATAACATATTTACATAAGTATTAGAGTTTGGTTTACTTTTTAACAAATTCGTCGTAAATGGAACTGTGTACAAAAGTTCTTGAAAATGCGCAGCACACTTGTCCTTGATTTGTGAAGACTGCATCCTGGGCCTTTTGAACGGCTTCGTCCACGTTTACATCCCCTAGTACGATAACTGCACTTTTTCCGCCCATTTCTAACGTTACCCTTTTCAGATTGTTCTCTTGGGCGACAGCTTTGTGAATTTTTAAGCCAACTTGTGAAGATCCTGTGAATGAAATTTTTTGTACCTAAAATGAACATAAATAAATTGTTGTTAGGAGTCTAAAACAAGTCGACATTTACTCGTGGATGATCGACAACGGCTGCCCCAGTAATCCTATCTCCTGGTACTATATTTATCACCCCGGGAGGAAAGCCAACCTCTTGGACCAAATGGCCAAGGTAGAGGCTGGTTAATGGAGATTGCTCTGCAGGTTTAATGACTACAGTGTTTCCTGCTGCAAGAGAAGCACCTAGTTTCATTGCCAGTAATAGTAAAGGGAAATTCCATGGGATAATCAGGCCGCAAACTCCTATAGGTTCGTGGCGTGTGTAGGTATGGAAGGAGCCATTTAGGGGAATTACTTGTCCTGTTATCTTATCTGCCCAACCGGCGTAATAACGAAGATTGTCTACTACTCCTGGTATGTCAGCAAGGAGTGCCATACTGTAGGGCTTGCCAGTGTCAAGGGCTTCCAATTTCTTTAGTTTAGATAGCGTTTAGGTATTTAGAAATTCGATTTTTACAATTAATGGGATACTTACTGCAATATATTCCTTCTCTTTCTCTATAACATCGGCCAATTTATAAAGAAGTCTTCCGCGTTCAGAGGCATCTATAGTTCTCCATGGTGAATCGAATTCGAAGGCTTTCTCGGCCGCTCTTACTGCCAAATCTACATCTTCTTCTGAGCCATATTCGATTTTGGCAATCAATTTACCAGTTGCAGGATTCAAAGTTTCGAATGTTCTTTTTTTGGTCGATTTTTGGAACTTGTTATTGATAAAAATCTAAAATGTTCGCACCAATGGCTCGCGTTAATATGAATAGTGAAAATTAAAAGTACTTCCTTACCTCTGTGTAGAGAACGGGTATTTCTTGTTGGGAAGTCATCTTATCAATAGTTTGAGCCACTTAGGAGTATCGTATATTTATTAATGTTAAGTACATATGTATGTGTGTTGTTTATTACGCTTAAGTAAGCAAGTACTTTAAAGCCATGATAAGTAATTAACTTATTATTGTCAGTAAAGAAATTCTTTACATGTAACATGATTATTATTTTATTGAGGAGATAACAATCTGGGTTATTTGACGATTGTTTGTTTGCTTGTGTTTTTCTTGATAAAATGCAAGTGTCAAAGTGGCATTTATATGTCTTTTACAAAATTCACTGTTAAAAAATACTTTTTTATGAGACCAAATTAAAAATAATCAAAAACTAAAATAAAAATGCAACTGCAATAGATACACATGCGTGTACCAAATTAAAAATGAATAAATGTGCGAAGAAAGCTGAATGTCCCGGAGAAAGTGCCCGCTCTGAAATACGGGAAAAATATCTCAAAGACCAATTGGAAATTATAAAGACGCAAATGAACTCGGCTATGACAAACATGCACGAACTTAACGGTACCAACATCCAACTTATCCACGACTTAAAAGAACTGAAAAGGAAGTGTATGAATATAAAGGAAGAGTTTGTTGATCAGAAAATCAACGAGTTACATTGCTACGTTAATTTGACGAGGGTTTTGGAAATAACGAGGAACGATACAAGGAAAACCAGAGACAATACTGTCAATGTACTGCAAACCAAACTGAGTGGAACTATAAATAATATAAATGATGAATTAGATGGGTTGGGAGACGAATGTCCATCGGAAAAACAGAACCTGGAAACTGCCGAAGAAGAAGATGAATAAAAATAAATAAAAATATTTCTCTTCTTTTAAACTTTGCATGTACATGAATAATAAGTATTGGTAAACGTTGAAGATTGAAAAGATGTTTTTATTTTTAATTAAAAACAGTACAAAAATATTTACAATCTATAAATTTATTCAAATGACTTGCAATTAACAATTTCACAAGTCACAAAAGTAAACGAAAGACGTTAACATCATTAAACACATACAATAATAGGAATCTCGTCACGTACGAGGTAAATTCAAGAAGTTTTCTTATAAACACTAGTAATAACTGATTTGACTTCGGTGTACTGTTGAAGACCGTATTCGCCGGCTTCTCTTCCTATGCCGGAATTCTTGAATCCTCCGAAGGGCGTCTGGGACCCGAGGGCATTGTAACAGTTGACCCATACCGTTCCGGCTCTTATCCTGGCCACCAAATAATTCACTTTGTCCAGATCATTTGAGAAAATGCCTGCAGCTAATCCGTAATCGGTGTTATTGGCCCTCTCGATCAACTCGTCGAGTTCTTGGAATTTTAATAATTGTTGAACTGGTCCGAATATCTAAAATGGATAATTTAATTAGTGGACAAATAAAAAAAATAATAACATCAAAACCGACTTCTTCTTTTGCAATGGTATGATGATCCTCGACATTGGCGAAAACTGTGGGCTGTATAAAATAGCCCTTGTCCCCGTGTCTTTTTCCCCCTGTAATCAACTCAGCACCTTCGCTGATGCCCATGTCGATGTAGCGGAGAACTTTTTCCATTTGAGTTTGATCCACTTGCGGCCCCTGTTCTGTGTGGATGTGGAACGGATCTCCAACAACCCTTTTCTTTGCCCTTTCTGCTGACCTAAGCGAAAGTTATTTTGTTATTTACCTTGTGATATTACAAAATTTGTTAAGTGTTTATTAGATGGTAATCTAATCAATGTAATTAAACATAACGTCACCGTGCACTTATGCCAAGGTCAAGGTGGCGGTTGTTTAGAGCATGACTGGCACAATCAATTCTGCGAATATTTATTATAAACTAGAAATAGTTTGAGGCGAACAAAATTGTGTGCATTATACGTATGAGGCCTAGTCAATGAATAAACAGGGATAATCTTACCTTTCGACGAATTCGTCATAGATAGAGCTGTGCACGTACGTCCTAGACCCTGCACAACATACTTGACCCTGATTGAAAAACAACCCTTGGTGAGCCGCCTCCACGGCTTTTTCTATATCGACATCGCTCAAAATGATATTGGGGCTTTTGCCTCCCAGTTCCAACGTTGTCCTCTTCAACCTACCCTGTCCGGAAGCTTGTTGGATCTTCAATCCAACTTCGGTGGACCCTGTGAATGCGATTTTATCAACCTGTAAAAAATAAAGTTGTTTGAAAACTTTTTCAGGAACAAGTTAAATAAATAATTTTCTTACACCAGGATGACTTGTTATGAAAGCACCTGTGTCACCGAATCCTGGCACGACATTGAGAACTCCTGGAGGAAGTCCAGCTTCCTTGGCCAGTTGGGCGGCGAACAGAGCAGTGAGGGGCGTTTGTTCGGCAGGTTTTATGACGACGGTGTTGCCCATTGCGAGGGCAGGAGCAATTTTCCATGTAAACATTAACAAGGGGAAATTCCAGGGTATTATTTGACCACAGACGCCGACAGGTTCGTGGCGAGTGTAAGCGAAATATTGACCGTCTGTGGGGATCACTTTGCCATGGTTCTTATCAGCCCAACCGGCAAAATAACGTAGAAAATTTATAGAAGACATCACATCGATATTAAAAGAATGCGAATAGGGTTTGCCATTATCTAAAGTTTCCAAACTCTGAGAAACAGAATAAGGTTTTCCTTACATTTTCTTTGCGACGAGACACAATTGAATGAATACATACAGCCATATAAGCGGCGTTTTCTTCAAAGAGATCGGCAAGTTTGTAAAGGAGTCTGCCACGTTGAGACGCGTCTATGGTTCTCCACGGTGAATTGTTATGAAAGGCGTCTTGAGCTGCTTGGACTGCATGATCAACATCTTCTTTACCGGCGTACTGGACCTCCGTTATTACTTCGCCCGTTGTAGGATTGAGTGTCTCAAAAGTGTTTCCGCCTTGAGACTTATGCCACTCGTTGTTTATAAATATCTAGGAAGACATTAATTTATGCAGACTTGTATTAAGACAAACTGGAATAGACGATTTTAAAATCAAGTAGTTCAAAAACGTTTGACATTCAAGTCTAAAAAATTATTAGGATTATTTATTGTAATGTTGTAAAATTATTTGTCTATTATTTTACATAGAAATAGAAAAAGGATCGCGTATTAAACAATCAGGACAGTCCCTCCTTACTCACAATGCCCATACGTAATCTTTATGCTCGTCAAATATTTGACTGTCGGGGACATCCCACCGTAGAAGTGGATCTCATCACCGAATTGGGTCTTTTTAGGGCTTCGGTCCCTGCCGGAGTAACCACCACGGCGTCAGAATACGAAGCAGTCGAATTAAGAGATAACGAAAAAAATAATTTCCACGGTATGTCTGTGTTTAATGCTGTAGACAACATTAATGACGTAATAGCTCCAGAAATAAAGCAATCATGTTTCGAAGTAACCCAGCAAAAGGACCTGGATAATCTTCTTCTTGGTCTGGATGGCACACCCAACAAGAGTCGTTTAGGGGTAAATGCCACCTTGGCAGTTTCGGTTGCAATTGCGAAAGCTGGGGCAGCAAAAAGAGGAGTCCCTCTATACAGACATGTTAGTGATCTGGCGGGAAACAGGACTTTTGTGCTACCGGTTCCCTGTTTTAACGTGATAACCGGAGGAATACAGGCCGGAAACAAAATACCTTTCGAAGAATTTCTAATAATGCCCACGGGAGCCACTAGTTTTGCGGACGCTATGAAAATGGGCACCGAAGTGTACCATAATTTGAAAAAGCTCCTGCTGGCTAAATATGGGACGTTGGCGTTTTATACGACTGAAGAAGGGGCATTTGCTCCTAACATAAAAAACCCCAAAGATCTCCTTACCATCCTGAACAAGGCAATAGACACTTCTAAGTACAAGGGTCGCGTAGAAATAGCCATGGACTGTGGTGCGTCCACTTTTTACAAAAAAGGCAAGTACGACCTTAATTTCAAGCAAAAAAAATCGAACCCAAAGTCTTGGCTAACCGCTGATAAACTTATGAAACAATATCTCGATTTCATTAAAAAATTCCCGATCTGTTCGATCGAAGATCCTTTTAATATGGACGATAGTTGGAAAGATTGGAAATCGATCTGCGAGAAGACCTCAATACAGGTCGTTGGAGATTATTTGACCGTTTCTCACCCCGAACGAATCAAACAGGCCATCGAGATGGAAGCATGCAATTGCGTGTCATTAAAACTCAACCAGGCAGGGACTTTGACGGAAATAGTTCAGGCTTGCATGTTGGCTAAACAAAATGGACTTGGAACAGTCTTATCTCATCGTACCGGCGACACCGAAGACACGTACATCTCTGATATTGTTGTCGGTTTGAAATGTGGGCAGTTGAAAGGGGGGGCACCGTCTAGATCTGAGAGAATGGCGAAATATAATCAGTTACTCCGTATTGAGGAAGAACTGGGACCATACGCCACGTACGCGGGGAAAGCTTTTCAAAATCCAGCATAAAAACGAGAAAAAAAATGGAAAAACAACGTGTAACATTGGAAGTTTTACATACACATATAAATTAGAAAAATCAGTAAATACGTTATTATATTTTGTAATTAGTGAGACATTAATAACAATAAAATTAAATGCTGCAATTAAAAAAAAAGTAAATTAACTCGTACGAGCCACCCGGTAGATGTGAAGCGTCGAAATTGGTTCGAAACGACGCTCTTGTTTTTAAATTTACTTGCAGTTGTTAGAACTACAATTATTTGTTATTACCTATTAATACTTAAAATAAGGTGAATATACGCTTCATATTATTTACTGGAGTTCCCAGGTGCTTCTAAAGATGATTCTCATAAAAAAATACAAAGAATAGTCAACAGACTCGAATAGGTCACAGTATTGTATGCAATACTAAAAGCAGCGCAGTAGTGCGGGTTGCTTAGTTAATTTTACTCCTCGGTTGGGAAAATCGTAAAAAATATACACTTACATATACAAGGCTCAATCAAATAATATCGTAAATTCTGTTGTAAGTGAAGAATGAACCATAAGCACTATGTTTCGAGTAAATTGAAAAATATTGTTTGCATTTGTCCTTATGTATATATGTTACGTAATGCAGGTAATGTATTTATAAACATACATTTAAGTGTTTATAAAGATAAACAAATTACTTATTTATGTAGGTAGGTAGGTATAGTTATTCATATTGTGAATGAAGTTGTTATGATTTAAATTATATATAATCTGTATAACAATGTCGATAAGGTAACAAGGTTATCGTATCATCGTTTAAACTTTCTTTAACTTTGTATCTATTTTGTAATGAGTTATGGTATCCTATTTTTATTTAATTATTTTATAAAAAACAAGAATCAATTACAAATGGTAAAATTCTTACGAGATACGGCCCTGTTTCTCCAGATTCTATTCGAATGATTAATTAGTTCAGAAAAAAAAATCAGTAATGTGAATGAGTAACTAATAAACAATATGTTAATCAGTATGATATACTTACACCCGAATACATAACATTGGGTTTGATATGTGGATCTGGTATTGCCGTTGAAGAAAAATTCAGACACTGAATTTTTGGAGTTAATTTTTTCACGATACGCAACATTATTGATGTTGGTTGCTGTATCTAGGAGACGACGCTGAAATTTCTACGTTAGCTGTTCGTTTTACCGGTAAAATTGCGAAAAATGCAACTGCATATACTCGACAAACCGACAAACCAGAATCGAAAGTACTAATTTATTACTGATTTCCTCGTGCTCTTATTCGCCTTGTTCCCATAAATACAGTCGTATTTCTATTGGTTAATGCCCCTCCTTTCTTAAGTCTTTTATTTTGTAGGGAATATTATCAATAATAATATATTACGTACATGCACCATGCACGTATTATTGTCTGGCTATTTAAAATTATATGTTATTTATAAAAATGATTGTGGCAAGAAACAAAACACAATAATGATTTATGTGTTGTTTGCTTGTTACATTTACAATTATTAATAATTGAAATAATGTTTAATTATGTTTTCTTTCTATCATTCAAATAATCAAATTATTGTAAGTAATTAAGACTTGAGCCTCTTTTCACAAGTGCTTTACTTAGATGATGAAGTATTTAATAGAAATAATCTATCGTATTTGTCGATAGCATCTCGAGATGTTTTTTGATAATAAAGAGGAAATTACAAATCGAAAACATGTTGATTAAACATTATTTGAATTTAAAAGATATGGCGGTAAGTTACGCTCCTCCTACTTTTAGGTTTGGCGAAGAACCGCCATCTTACGGCAATTTTCTGAAATGCGTTAATAAACAAACATCGTTTTGTAAAAAATTTAAATAATTAATAACCCATATTTTACTTAATTAGCAATATTGTAGTGCTACAAAATGTGGCTTGTTGCAGCAGTGCTAGGTACATTTGCGAAATTTGTACAATTCATGTTTGTTTTTAGTGTGTAACCTTAAAAGTCGACAATTTCTTTGTAGTGTCCCTTCCCTGTAGAATTTTATAAAAAGCGAACAGATAATCCTCTTAGTGTTGGTGAGGCTTCTTCGACCTTGTTAGGCTAACAAGATTACTACGTGTAAAAATTTATAAAAGCATGTTGATTATTTAAGTGTATAAAGTGGTTATTGGGTGGTGAAGCGTTGTCTGTTAAGGGTGATTTTTTTTATAGATGGTAAACTACAGGCCCCAACGTAGAGTACAACTTGAACATGGCTTGTTTCCAAAGCGACGAGGCAAAGGAACAAAAACGAATTAATCAGGAAATTGAAAAACAATTAAAAAGAGACAAGAGAGATGCTCGCAGGGAACTTAAGCTACTTTTGTTAGGTAAGCAATGAAAGTATTTGTGTTGTTATTTGGTAAATAGTGTACTTTTCTAGTGCTTAGATAATCTTTCTGTTCTGCTAAGTACATATATTGATTAATATTAATGTTCAATTACAAGTTATAATCATTTGATTGATTGTTATTAATGTTTTAGTAAGTCTTTAGTACTCTAATTGGATTTGTTTAATTGAATTAGTTTACTTTTCTGTGTTATATTTGTGGAATGTGATTTAATTCAGAATTTATTAACCAATGAAAGATTTAAATAAAATTTGCCAATTTTACTGCTTGAATTAATGGCAAAACACTTTTAAATTATTATTATTGTACATATAGGCACTGGTGAGTCTGGTAAATCAACTTTTATAAAACAGATGAGAATTATTCATGGATCTGGCTACTCTGATGAAGATAAGCGCGGCTTTGTAAAACTAGTCTATCAAAATATATTTATGGCAATGCAGAGTATGATTAGGGCGATGGATCTATTAAAAATATCATACGGCTCTCCAGACTGTGAGGTAAAGTTAGTACATAGTCTAATTTTTAACTGTTAACAGAAGTTTTACTTTATTCAGGAAAAGGCAGAATTGATTAGAGGTGAGGATTATGAAACGGTGACAACATTTGAAAACCCTTATGCAGATGCAATAAAAGATTTGTGGAACGATAGCGGCATCCAGGAATGTTATGACAGGCGTCGAGAATATCAGCTGACAGATTCTGCAAAATAGTAGGTCTCTTCCTTTACAGCAGTTAAGCTTAATGAACCAATTAAACAATCTTTTATTATTTCCTATTGTTAAATGTCTTAATACTAATTTGTTGGGTGTTTTCTTTTCTTTTTCTTGTGTATGGTTTTCTGTGCTGGTTGAAGTTATCTTAGTGATTTGGAGCGCATAAGAGACCCAAGTTACTTACCTACAGAGCAAGATATCCTCAGGGCTCGAGCGCCGACTACTGGAATCATTGAATATCCCTTTGATTTAGATTCTATCATATTTAGGTACCAATGATTTGCTTGGGAAATGCAGAAAAGTAGATATGCAGAGGGAGGCTAGGCGAATTTTAGTGAAATAGCTTGCAAATGTAGGCTTCATTGTTTAATATTAATTAAATTTGCTTTTGCTTGTTGATGTAATTTATTTTATGAAATGATTAAACGTGTCATTTTTTAATTGTAGAATGGTAGACGTAGGAGGTCAGAGGTCAGAGAGAAGAAAGTGGATTCACTGTTTCGAAAACGTCACCTCCATCATTTTCTTAGTAGCTTTAAGTGAATACGATCAAATCTTGTTTGAATCTCAAAATGAGGTAAATATTTAATTTTTTAGTCAGTTAATTTCTGTAAAATACGTTCCATATTGCATCGATTGCTTTTTACCTTCCCAGAATCGAATGGAAGAATCTATGGCACTATTTAAAACCATCATTACTTACCCATGGTTTCAGAACTCCTCTATAATTTTATTCTTGAACAAAAAGGACTTACTGGAAGAGAAAATCATGACATCGCATGTGGTGGATTATTTTCCGGATTTCGATGGTGAGTTCTTTTACAGTATAACATACAAAATAAGATCTACTACTTTCCTCGAATTTAATGCAATTGAAATTGAAATTTTGTTACCTTCACTTTTTTTAATGTTAAGGACCTAAACAGGATCATGTTCAGGCTCGAGAATATTTTCTGAAATTGTACTTAAAGCAGAATCCTGATCCTGAGCGACAGTGTTACTCGCATTTTACCACCGCAACAGGTCTTAAATTTCAAAATACATTTCTAAAACGCTAGATGCTTATAGAAAGATCTATCTATTCCTTTTTTTTCACTTATGGGCCCAGTTAATCAATTATATAAGTCATCTCGTCTATTGTATTCGTTTTATGTTTTTATTTCATTGAAGTTGTTTCGACTAAGTTGCATACATACATGCAGTATGGTAAGCAATTTGTTACTTATTATATCTTTCTACCTGGTTTTCTCCTCTAAATGTATGGACTTACAAAAGTTCTTTATAAAGTTTGTGTGTAATGTAGGGTAGTAATGGTTGTTGTAGCAGCTAAATAATTAACGATAATTACTAATTGATAAATTAACTCACATTATCACTATTGCATGCTGCTTTGGAATGGAATTTTTTCGAATACGTTTTTGGACTGCAGACACCGAAAACATTAAACTAGTGTTTTGTGCAGTGAAAGATACCATAATGCAAAACGCACTGAAGGAGTTTAATTTAGCCTGAAATGTTTTTGTTATGCTCATTTTAAGTTTAATTTTTTATGTAATTGTAAATGGTGATAGTGTTTGTAGTAAGTGAATGTGAATTGTGTGTGTATTTTCACAGTGAAGTGTGTTTAGCTGTTTCGCTTTACTTTTTTTTTGTGTTCATGGGTCTGATGTAGAATATGAAAATACATTACATTTCATGTTTTATTATTATTGATTAATATTGACAGTGTATAACGCATGTTTTGTTTGTGAATGTGAAAATACAGTACAATAGTGTTTGATGTTGGAGCTTTTTAATTTAATTAATTATTAAACGTTACGCTGTAAAAATCAGACAAGAAGAGATGTGGAGTTGCTGCAACTCATGGTACTTGGGACAATGAAGATTGAAACAGGTCGGAATTAATTGGAAGATAATACGTACAAAATGCTTTTGGTTAAATGTCCTGAATACGCCTCTTGTATTTAGACACTGAGCTCCTGCAGTATATACCACTCTATATGCAGAGCTGTGCAGCAGGTTGCCTGTTTAAGGAGTATTTTCTATTTGTGCAACTGAAAAGTATACAGGNGACTTCTACAATTTATAGTTAATATAAACAAATTCTTATGTGTGTTGAGTAACAATAACTAATTTTAGAATTGGTAAAAAAATTGTTTGCATCAAAATTTGCTTCAAAAATAAATTTGACGATTTTATTCTTTCAAATAAGAAGTTTTCAAAGAGCTAATATTTTGATATAATCCTCATATAAAATCCTCAAAGAAGTTATACAAGAAAAATTTCTTTATAAGTATGTTGGTCCAATACGAATGATAAAAGTGTAGTTCCTTTGATGTGCAGATATATACACATAAAAGTAAAAGCAAATAATCCATATGTCAGAGGAAAATATGATAGTAAGGCACTTTTTAATAAATTAAAACATAGAAGAAACGTTAAAATAAAGAAATGCATGATGAATTACTGAAAAGAGTGGAAATAATAGTTTTATAAAGGCTCCTATGTTGTTATTTTCATTACAAACACATTTTAATTGTTTCTCGAAATTAGTCAACGAAGGAATAAAAAACCATTGTTAAAACATTAATTAATTTAACTCATTTCGCCACGAGAACATTTTTTATTAATTTTTTGCGAAAATAAGAGCAAAAAATTAAATAAAAATTATTGTTAGTTATTTGAATTTGAAAAGAATAGCGCCAAGATGGCGACTTCCTGCTTTGCGCAGTGCTCTTTTAAAAGGCAGCGCCATATTCGCAATAGGCGGCTACCGTTCAGCAAAAGCCGATAATTTATTAATGTAATTCATAGTGCTATGGTGCTATCAAATTATTAAAAAGGGGCCTTGCTATGGCGATTCGCCGACCACGCGGCACCTAACCGTGTTTCCGAAACGTCTAGACTCGTCGTTTTATCATCGTTGTGTAACCTTAAAGTTGACAATTGCTATCTGTCGTGGCTGTGCCCCACCGACGTTGATAAAAAACGAATGAGTAATCCGATTAGCGAGATGGTGAGGCTTCTTTCGCCTTGTTATGCTTTGTTAGTTAAACGAGATTAAGCTTTATAAAAGTATGTTGATGGTTTAAGTGTGCACCACACCCAAGAACGTGATGGTTATTCGGCGGTGAAGTGCTGACTGTCATTAGAAGAGGGTACGGGTGGTTTTTTGTGGATGCTAGGCCCCAGGCCCCATCGACCCCAGTTGCGTATAGCCGAGCTTGACCATGGCTTGCTGCCAGAGCGATGAGGTTAGAGAACAGAAGAGAATCAATCAGGAAATTGAAAAACAACTGCGGCGAGACAAGAGGGACGCTCGCAGGGAGCTCAAGTTACTGTTATTAGGTGAGCAACACAAAAAATAGTTGTTTGGAGTTTATTATTGCTGCGTTTAGAATTTGTTTTTACTCATTGTTGGGTTGTAACACCTATTCTTTTACTAATATTTTTGTTGTGTACCATGCATAAAAATAGTCTTTTTAATATTGTGCAGTTATTTTGGCAAGCATTTGGGCTGATTTAATATTTACATACATGCATTGTGAGGATATTCTTCTCTTAAAGAGTATCTGCCTTCATGCATCCCATTCGTGCACTCAGATTTATGTATATCACAATATGTAAAAGACTCAAGCAAATGTTTTTTCTTCTACAAACTACTTACAGATTTATGTATATCACAATATGTAAAAGACTCAAGCAAATGTTTTTTCTTCTACAAACTACTTATGGTGCATATTATATTATGTTTTATTTTAATGCCTCGTACTCGTACATTTAGATCATGATCATTTTGTGGCTTTGCTCTAATGTTTATCAGATGATGTTTAAATATGTTAAGTGAATTTTAATTATATGGTAGCATTAACGTTATTTGTGGCAAATTTTATTCCTTTATGAGTTTCTTTATCTCTTTTATAAATGTGTTTGATACTCCTACAACTTGATAATCCTCTTAATTAAAGTAAACAACAAATTATATTGTTAACACACAAGTTCAAGCAAAAATTTCATGAAGTTATCAATAAATACCATTGCGTAAACAGATGAGTAGTTTGTTTGTGCAAATTATTTGGCCACAGAACACTATTGATGAATATTAATTTTCTTCCTTGTTCATTTTTGTTTGGTAGAATTTGTTAAACTTTTTGTTGATAAATCCTAGAATTAACCAATTTTTGATTATGAAAATTGTATTAATTGCTGATGATTTTATAAATGAATTTTTTGTAGGTACTGGTGAGTCAGGCAAATCAACTTTTATAAAACAGATGAGAATTATTCATGGAGCTGGATATTCTGATGAAGACAAACGTGGCTTTATAAAACTAGTCTATCAAAATATATTTATGGCAATGCAGAGTATGATTAGGGCGATGGATCTTTTAAAAATACAGTATGCCTCACCAGATAGTGGTGTAAGTAATATAAATTCTAATATAAAGTATAATACATTATAAAAGTTTTGCTTATTTTTAGCAAAAAGCAGAACTGATTCGAAGTGTTGACTATGAAACAGTGACAACATTTGAAAATCCTTATGTAGATGCAATAAAGGACTTATGGAGCGACGCTGGCATCCAGGAATGTTATGATAGACGTCGAGAGTACCAATTGACAGATTCTGCCAAATAGTAAGTGCCTTTTTGGTAATTTCGATAATTTGGGTCTTAAGTTTGGTGAAAATGTTAATGTTAATAATTCGAATTAATTTTGTACTTATTATCAGCTATTTGATGGAAATTGACCGCGTTGCGGCCCCCGACTACTTGCCAACCGAACAGGATATCTTGCGGGTTCGTGTGCCCACCACAGGCATTATAGAGTATCCCTTTGATCTGGACGAGATTAGGTTTAGGTAACCAACCAAAATATGTCTCTACTACTGCAACACGACCGGCTTCCTGCATGTCTCTATGCTGAATTTTATTTTTAACTTTGCATCTCGTTTTGTGGTCTCCATATTTTATTTACGTTTATTATCTACCGTCGACGCAGCTTTGGGGAAACAAAAGAGGAAGTCTTGACAGTTTATTTTTAGTTTTCTCGTAGGTTTTCTTACAGGATGTAGTAGCAGTTCTTTAAATATTGTTCTTTCGTTGGGTATTTTTTTTTCAACTTTCTTTTGCATGGCTTTTTGTGTTGGTTACAGTTATCTTAGTGATTTGGAGCGGTTAAGAGATCCAAATTATTTACCTACAGAGCAAGACATCCTCAGGGCTCGAGCACCAACCACTGGAATCATTGAATACCCTTTCGATTTAGATTCCATCATATTTAGGTAGTATTTCATATAAGAAATGATTTGTTTGGGAAATACAAAAAAGTAGATTGTGTAGAGCGAGCTAGGTGAATTTTAGTGAAGTAGCTTGCAGAGCGTGGGCCTCATTTTCGGAATGCTTTTCTACTAATCGTTCCTTTATTTGCTTATGCAATTTATTGTGGCTTACCATATTACTTTTAACAAATGGTTTTATTAACGACATCTTAAATGTTGATTAAATTTGCATTTGCTTGTTGGCGTAATTTATTACTTTTTGGACAACGATTTTTATATTTAAAAGTGTTTTTTTTTTTTAATTTTAGAATGGTAGACGTAGGAGGTCAGAGGTCAGAGAGAAGAAAGTGGATTCACTGTTTCGAAAACGTCACCTCCATCATTTTCTTAGTAGCTTTAAGTGAATACGACCAAATCTTGTTTGAGTCTGAAAATGAAGTACGTATTTTTGCTGTTTTATTAAAAATTTGTACTAAATCGTCTGTTTACCTTTTCAGAATCGAATGGAAGAATCTAAGGCTCTATTTAAAACCATAATTACGTACCCGTGGTTCCAGCACTCCTCTGTGATTCTGTTCTTGAACAAGAAGGATTTGCTCGAGGAGAAAATCTTGTATTCGCATCTGGTTGATTATTTTCCGGAATATGACGGTGAGTTTTTGCATGCAATTTTCCCTTCGTCTGTTTGTCGCACCCAACACATCCTGCGTCTGTTGACATATTGATTGGTGTTATAAGTCCACCAGTACCTCGATATATAAAAATGTGCCCCATTTTACGTATGGTATTCCTCGCATTTCCTTTCCCCTGGATTTCCCTGTTGTAGTTGTTGATTAAAGAGCTACATGTTGAGTTTGTCGCTCAGGTCCCCAAAGAGACGCAATCGCCGCTAGAGAGTTCATCCTGCGGATGTTCGTAGATCTTAATCCCGATGCCGAAAAGATCATATACTCTCATTTCACTTGCGCAACAGGTACTTTCGTTGTATAGCATGCTAGAGGGTTTTTTAGGGACTACTAAAGGGAGGGGGGGGGCTCTTTCTGTAATAATGTTTGCTTATAGTTGCTCGTCATTGCTTCTCAAATGACATGATAATAACGTATTTATTAACTATTAACTGATTAACAAAGTTTGTTATTATTTTTGCATGCTGCTTCAGATGGATAATTTAATGTAAAACTTTTTGAGGCAGATAGATAACGCCGGAATGTGCGTTTTCTTGGTTTTATTTTGCTTTTTGGAAGCCAAAGCAACTTTTCATTATGTTAACTAACATTTTATGAGGGCTTAGATGTGTTTAAATGGTATAATTAGTGTAAAGAAAGTGAAAGTGAAACTTTAGGTGCTTCGAAGTCTCTAATTGTTGTTAAGTTGTGTGTTTTGTTTTGCATGTTACAAGAACATTCAAGTTTATAATGCTTTTTTACTTGTGCGTTGTACAGAAAGTGTGTAATGAACTATTTTACTTTGTCATTAACTGCAATTAATGCGGTGTTAGTGCTTAAAGCATGTTTTATTTGTTTGTGTGTGTGTGTCTGTGTAAAATTAATATTTGAACGTTTGTTATTTTATAAATTAATTGCATAATTTAAGAATTTTCACCGTTGCACTGGAAAAAAGAACTTTTAATTTATTAGAACAATTAACGATCAGTAATTAATCATGCATAGAACAATATTGTCTTCGAGTGCAACGGTGCTTTTATAGTAGTGAACATTGTGCATTGAATTTTTATCCTTTTCGTCCTGCCCTGTCCTAGACACGGAAAATATAAAGTTCGTATTCGCCGCGGTGAAGGACACGATACTTCAGTCGAACCTGCGGGAATACAATCTGGTGTAGGAGTCAGCCATGGCAGACGACGACGCCTGGATGCGTTGTCGTCTCATCAACCCTACGGGCGTCCAAACGACGCCGGTGACGTGCGACCGCAACGGACGCAACATTTCTTATTATTATTGTTGTTGTGCGCGACATAGTGTGATGATGAGTGACGCCCGCAAGTTTTTAGTGCATTTCTCTTAGTTATTTAATTAATTAATATAATAAGCAAAGAAACGATTAATTAAAAATGAACACAACACAGAAGAGATCGATTGAAGAGAGAAGAAAAGGTAGAAAGAAAGAATAATCAGGGATAGGAATCAGAACCAGACGGATCGGAAAGAAAGATGGAAAGGGAGACGGATGCAAAAAAATCGATAATTGATGGATTTGATTGTTTTCGTAAAACAGAAAAAAAATAGTCATTTATTATAGACAGTGTTTTTGAAGTGTAAAGTTACTACTATTACTACTATTACTATTTACTATTATTCTATTGCAAACCAGAATTTATTCATTTCTACAAGAAACAAACAAAAGAGAAATTATAATTCCAGGAGCTTCTGGCCGTCACGGTGGTTGCATTTTTTTTAATCAGATACTACGCGGGCTGCTACTGGGAGCATCTCAGTGATATTGTTTCATGTATCGCTTCGATATATTGATATGATATTCCACTGGAAATGGTGACAGTAGCAACTGGCGAAGGGTCTGGAAGATAGAGGCAACAAAACGACTGAAAACCCCAGAAGCCTGGACTAACATTACGGACTCTGGCCGTTAAAGCCTAAGCAGCATTTAAAAAAGATACGATTACTTCTACTACTAACTACTATTACTATTATATGCGACTTTTGAATGCCATGCATTTTTGTACGACGGACTAAACTACGACTTTGGCTGTCTGGTCAGGTTTTTGTTTTTAAATTTTATCATTTATCTCACCCCCGCCCGACACCGCCTCCGCCACCGTCACCAACACTTCAACCACTGCCTTTCCCACAGCTTATGTTATGCCGTCGAATGTCTCCGCAACAAATCTTAGTATTTATTATTAATTAAAAGTGCAGAAATTACGTATGATGATGTGTGATGATGAATAATAAAGCAGAAGAAACAAATATGAAATTACCTACTACTAAATAATAATAATAATAATATTAATGATAATAATGTCCGGCTTCGTTATTGTTTTTTGTGCACGGAGCAGCAGCAAACAGTTGAAACGTAAGAGAAAAAAAAGTAAAAGATACACGTCCAAATAAATGGGGGGGACCAGGTCTGACGCGTGGACAAGTAGCGACTAAAGGGGGGCCTCCCTGGCGTCTTTCTACTCGCCTTACGCATCTTCCGCCCCTTTAAAAAAAACTCCTGCGTATATACATGCATATACATTAATAGTACATAATATACATACATATATACATGCATAAAGCGCGTTTTTTTATCGAGCTATCGATTTGTTTATTGATGTAGTTTTACGACAGATTAACATGATGCCCCATATGAATTATTATATACGTCTGGAAATTGTGTTTCCAAAAATAAAATAATTCTGTGTTTTTCGTAACGCAATCTTTTCTTTTATTCCCTTTTTCCGACAATTCCCACGAAAATATCAGGACGTTTATAGGCATTTTATTATTTTTTTACGCGGTGAATTAAATTTACAATTTTTGCAAGTTAATAATTGAAAATTTTGTATGTTTCAATTAAAATCACACTGTAAAATTATTTATTGATGGAAATTTTAATTAACGAAAATTAAAATCGAAAGCTCTATAGATACATATATTTATTTAAGTTTGGCACAAATTAAAGTGTAGGGTTGGCTGTAATATACTTTTTTGTGCGGAGGAAGGGGTTATGAAACATTATTTATCAGTGGTATAGTAAATTTTTACCAGGTACTTGTAATTCGTTCAATAACTAACAGAAAGTAATTACTTTTAACTGTAAAGTATACTTAAATTGATCGGTCAATTGTCTATTAATTAACAAAAATAATACGTAACTCATTAAAAGAGCTGAAATTCTAATTCAATTAAATTACGCGTGTTGGTGTTTTTTATTTTTGTTTAAAACATTTGGCAATAGCGTAATTGTAGACTGGGAACGAATTGGCGTATGAATTTGATTGTGTATGGAAGATAGATAGAGGTGCGTTGTCGGCCTAACAAGTGGTTGGGTTTTGTGTTTTCTGATCTCAAAAAATAAGTAATGTGCATCGTTTTATCAGTGTTAAATAAATATTGCGGGTTAGGTACTTTAAAATTACACTACTATTACGGTGCTGGTTCGTTTAATAATCAAAGGTACCGCGAGTGCTATTGATGTTGGGAATAGCCGTTGCTGCCATTAATGGCTTCCGTGCCATTGTGGAGAACATAATAGTAGCTGTGTCGTTTTGGAATACTTGGCAATTGGTTGGTGTTCTACAGGAATACACTGCAAATCTAGGAATAATGGTCCGGAAAATAGCAGCTTCGAAAGGTACAGACTCCCCTCCTAAGTTTTTTTTGTGTAATGGCGGACGTAGTATTTCAACTTCAACTTTTTAATTGCTTATACGTATTAATTGAAAATCTTATGGTATGCAATTGCAACGATACAGGTATATTTATGTATTACATCTAATAATTTACATTATCGTAAAAGATAGGTTAATGTTGCGTTTATGGCCCCACTGGGGCCCCATCTAATGCTACGTTTATGTACGTACAACAAAAAATAAGAACAAACGACTTCTACAATTTATAGTTAATATAAACAAATTCTTATGTGTGTTGAGTAACAATAACTAATTTTAGAATTGGTAAAAAAATTGTTTGCATCAAAATTTGCTTCAAAAATAAATTTGACGATTTTATTCTTTCAAATAAGAAGTTTTCAAAGAGCTAATATTTTGATATAATCCTCATATAAAATCCTCAAAGAAGTTATACAAGAAAAATTTCTTTATAAGTATGTTGGTCCAATACGAATGATAAAAGTGTAGTTCCTTTGATGTGCAGATATATACACATAAAAGTAAAAGCAAATAATCCATATGTCAGAGGAAAATATGATAGTAAGGCACTTTTTAATAAATTAAAACATAGAAGAAAGGTTAATTGTTCTTGGGCTTTAAGTTAATTTTTGGAATGCGAGAGTTACTAAGAAAGTTTTTAATTTATAATCAAAAACTTATACCTTTAAATAACGTAAGTACTCATGTATTTTTGCAAATCCCTCCAGGGAATAAAGCGGATAATCTTATTTGCGCAAAGATATTTCTTTTACAAAAGTTTGTATACATACTGGCAGTATAAAAAGGACGATTTAAATAAAAATGCTTCAGTTTATAAAAGTACATGTAGATGTTATTACTCTTATGTCTTACTCTTTTAAAAATAAGGCGCTAATGTGGTGGTACATTGGAAAGAGGTAATTTTCTGTAATACATACAACAGGGAAATAACAATGACCTTTATCTCGTAGATCAAGGTTTAATAACGTTTTTACGACCGTATTATTTGGTTTAATAATTTTAATACTAGTGATGCCAAATAAGGCTCAGGTGACGTTTTCGAGGGATTGGATACCTGGTAAAAGGATTAGTCGAAATTACGAATTTCAGGAGAATTTTGAAAGGACGAGTAAATCAGTCACTTATCGTCGAATTTTACTGGTAATATTCAACGTAGTGTTTGTGTTTATTTTGGTGTGCTTGAAATATGTTTCTTATATTAAAATTTTTCAAGAATGAGATGCGACGTTATGATCAAAAGTATAAAGGGAAGAAGGAGTTATTACACCTGCCCATTCATCGCTATGCCAATGTGGTGATAAGAACATAATCAAAGAAGGAATAAGTGTGGAATGTGTTAAGATTAACATCAACCGAAATAAATATGATTTTGAAATTGGTTTTTATTTTCTCGATGAATCATTTTTGATGTTATGTAGACACATGCACGGTATGCCGTACTTTAGTTACATTTTAGGAGTGTTAAAGCACAATGTTGTCATGTCAATTAAGAAACCTAGAAATTGTGAGATTTGTAAACAGAAGCACCGAAGGTACGAAGTGGTAAAAGAAATTTAATGTCATGAATCCGGATGATATAGAGTTCATAGCTGAAAATGAGTTAGTTCAGGTTATTTCGAATTTCAACAGTCCTGTAATAGCCCTGATTAAAGGGAATGTGGGCCCCTTTCGAGCTGGTTTAACAACCCATGTGCCTCTATGGTTAGCTGTGAATTTAAGACAGAGAAGACAGTGTAAAATAGTGCCTCCTTCATGGATGAATGTGGATGATCTGGAGGAATGTAAGACAAGAGAGAAGAATTTAAGAATTTTTACAAAGATGCCTTCAGACCATTACATTGAAGTTGCTAAGTTGCTTCTAGACTGTTCTTCAGATGATATTCCTCAAGCTGATGAAATAAGAACGATTATTAAGGACATTTGGGACATACGCATGGCAAAAATAAGAAATTCAGTTAATAGTTTGATTAAAAACAGTAGTTCCTTCGCAGCCCTAGATAATCTGACCATGTTTGAAATTAATTCTATGATGCCTCTCGTTCCTGCATGTCTGAGCCAAATTATGAGGTTGAAGAAGCCCCCCAGAGGGCTCAATACTCAATCACAATTTCCAAGCTCCATTCTAATAAACACAACAAACACTACAAATTCACTATAACATACTTTTGTGCGTGTTGATTTCCTTTCTAATAAATCGGTACTAAAATTAATAGCCATAGGTAATTTTATCGCTTGTAAATTAAGCGTTAGTGTTAAAATAAAGTTTCAAAACTTATTTGTTTTGTGTTACTTAAATATGATACCACTTGGCAACAGCGTGGTAACTGTCAAACTCAACGTGGGCTGTCAAACGGTAGTATTTATTTGTTGCTCATATATGTTTGCTGCCGAGCCAGAATGTCCTTTGCATCGACTGCTAGGCGGCAAGACATGCCCCCTCCGGGGGGCTACAAGCCCATTTTTTACAAGAGGAATCCTGCAAAGACGTATTTCTCAGGTGGGTAACGAAAGGGTGACCGATTTTCGTTGTCGCACTTGTCTTAGAGGTTATTACATAATACAAAACTTCAGGTTACACTTGGATAGCTATTTATTTTGGGGTGACTGCAGTAGGAGTATTTGCTCATTATATGAACTGGAAGAAGGTCCTTAGGGACGATCTGGAGCGTAGGTCTGGCAATTTCGCTATATTTCCTCTGCTGTTGGCAGAACGTGATAGGGAATATTTGAAGCAGCTCAGGAGGAACAGAGATGAGGAGGCCGATTTAATGAAGAACGTGGAGGGATGGGAAGTGGGTACGTGGTACGGCGAGCCCCTTTACAAGACCCTTCCAAAAGGCACCCTTGTTGAACCTACCTATTGGGATTATTATGTGCATGCATCCAGCAAGGATTATATAAAGAGGGCCTACCTATGCTTGTGGTCCTAAATACATATATGCAATTGTGTGTAGCGATTTAATAATATTGCTGTAGTCCAATATAATATTGAAGTCTTGCAATAAAATAACTATTAAATAAAGTTTAAAGTCTATGCAAGAAGTATAACTTAATGAGAGTTTTTCTGGTTTTCCCTGGTAGGGGTTGGAGGCTCCACAATATATGATGTAATATTTGTGAATACCAGTTTTGTAGTTGTAGGGGATGATTAGTACATGGGAAAATATAAGATGAAAATTTGTTTCTTAAAAGAGTTGTAACAAAATTTGGATGAGGGTTACATTTTATACAGTAAATAATAGAATGTAGAATTCCAAATGTCTTATCCATAAATGTTACGTTACATTAACCCCCTGCTGCGTTAACTATTTAATTTTAAGTACCCCCTATTCAATTTACTTTACACCTAAAATAATGAAAACTTTTCATTTTGAATTAGTCTTTCATAGGGGAAACATACAATTCGTTATGGAGCTAGTCAAAAGTTTATCAGTTTTTTGCTTTTTTTTGCTATCGGCTATTTTATATATCGGATTCGTAAAAAGTGCCAGTATTAAAAAAGACGTGGTACAAAAATGTCAAGAAATACCAAAAATAGTGTTGGCACATGTGCTAGGATCTGCTTTCAATCCGAGATACATGAGCATAAACATTCCGTTTATTGATAACAACAAATACATAGACGACAGTAATAAGAGAAAGGTCAACGCGTATCTGCCTTTTTACGTAGGAGATGATCTAGTAACTGAAGACAAAAGTGACGATGTTCCGGCTTGGAATGTAGACTTTGGCGTTGAAAATTTACATCGCAGTGATTTGCTATCGGGGACGGTGAGAAAGAAACGGGTTGCGAATATTAAACCCGGAGGACCTCACTGGAAGTGCGAGTCGGAAGTGAAATGGATCGATCTGGGCGTCGATTATTTCCCTAGGTTTTTGCGAACAGTTGAATGCACAACGTCCGATTGCTGGTATGGAAGGTACAAATGCAGACCGAGGGCTTTCACTGTAAGGTTGTTGAAGAGAAGAAGCGATAAGTGTGATGAGAGCGAAATTAGTTATAAAAGTGGCGTTTCAGGACTACCAGACGAATTGCGCGAACTGTGGGTTTGGGAGGAAAGGGCTGTTAACTTTTGCTGCGATTGTGCAATATGATTAGGATTTTGTAAAACTGTCCTTGGTGTAGATAATTTTTTATAAAGGTATTTCTACCTCTAAACAGTTTGTATTATATTTACTTATTTGTGGTCATGACCAATGGTATTCAATACAATTCGATTACTAATTTAATAAATGTGTTTTTACACTACCCACTACACAACAGTCAATCGCAAACATGATTTAGAAACGTTTCGAGAGGGTGTGCTAGGGATTTATTTCAAAAATACTTGAAATATTATATTGCCTGCAAGTCAATACAAATTTTTTTTTTTTGGGTTGAAAAGGTGGAAGGTCATGTTCAAATGGTACATAACACGAGAAGGGTCGTTTGTTTTAATTGTTTATTGCATTCTTATCGATTCTGGTAATTAATAATAATTAACGTAATTAAACTATCAATAAGAAGATATTATCTGTACATTTGGATAATAAACAACAACTTACGTTATATAAACCTCTACGTACCGTTATGTTTATATTATATATATATATATATTGTTTCTAAAGTACATATCTATTAATACTTCCCTTATGTATTGATAACGTTATAAATAAATACGTAAAAATTTACAGGCGGACAGGCACTAAAATGCTGCAGCAAAACAATTTTTTCATTTTGCGACCAAATAATTTTATCCGTTGGTACTTTTAAATTTCCTTATCAGTGGCAGTGATACTTGATTTGAACACATTTTATTTTCATTTTATTAAAACATTATAATAATTCCAAATGTCACACGACGTTGAGAGATGTTATTTGTTATTTCCTTACAATTCAGTCGGTTGTTACGATAGTTAAAGACTTATTAAATGTAACAATAAAACAAACAAAAATAAATTACCTAAAGTCGATTTACATTCGTAATAGATATGATTGTTGTTTTGCTAGAAGCTACTTGGTCACTATCAATCTCACCCGCAGATACAGGGGTCGTTCGTAAAGTTCGTTTTCCACCGTTTCGTTATTTTGAACGCTCGTCCTCTTGCCGTGAATTATCAAATGAAACTGTTCGGGGTGTTTGAGGCGTCGCTTAAACATTAACGACCACGTGCCGTAACTTTTCAACAGTTGAAGCTTACCCTTTTCGTTACCCTTTACAATCGAGTATTCGGTGTTATGCTGCGAATAATAAGGAAAAAAGCGAATATTATCATATATGTTTCATAAAAGATGTAAAGCTTAATACCTTTACGGACGGCTGTAATTTAAGTATGCGATGTTGGTGTTTGGTTTGTTCGGTGGTGATTTTTAACATCAGTTGCTCGGCGTGCTGAGGAGCACCATCATCTGGACTTCGTCGAACTCTGGCATGTCTTGATGCCAGCCTTCTTCTGATCAATTTGCTGTATCTTCGCAATTTTGAATCTCTTCGATGTCTACCGTTCAACTGAAAAACAAAAAAATTTGAAAGGGGTTACTAATAAATAATGTCGATTTACGCTAACCTTGCAAGAGAAACATCCCTCTGACGTTATAAATTTATCATCGTTGATGCCTTTGTATCCGTTTATGGAATAAGTCGGCGCGTTTCCGATATCAGGGGCGTAGCTGGCCACTGAGGGGGTGATGGTCGACAAGCAGTGACCTTGTCCGATGTGTTGATAACCCTGTGGACAGCTGCAGCTGTAGCTGGCTCCTGTTGCCGAACATCCGTAGGCGCAAGGGGCTCCGACGCACTGTGGACTGACCTAAAACGTAAAATTGTTAGTTTTCTAACCCGAATAGAGCACACCCCAATGCAAATAAATTACTTGGATGCACATGTTTATGCCGTTATCGAATTGGTACCCTTCGGGACATCCACATCTGTAACTGCCCGGCGTGTTGAAACAGTTGCTGGAGTCTCCGCAGGGGTTGTTTGTACACTCGTTGTCGTCTACGCATTTGTTGTACAGATAGTGAAGGACGTATCCTTCGGGACATCCGCACCTGTAACCGCCTATGAGGTTCTGGCAACCTTCGGGACATTTTCCATCTTCGGCACATTCGTCCGAGTCGACGCAGTAAGTTCCTGTGGGGTCCGTCCTATAACCTCGGGGACACACGCACTTGTAGCTGCCCAGGATGTTAACGCATCGTCCCGGTTTCGGACAGACGCCGATTTGATCGCATTCGTTGATGTCTAAAATAAAATGCGTAAATCTCCAGGGTGTGTGTGTGGTGTATGTGTGTGTGTGTGTACCTTCGCAATCGTCTCCAATTTGGTTGTATCCTTTTTCGCAGGAGCACTTGTAACTTCCTTGGGTGTTGGTGCAGGTCTGTTGACAAACGTGCTGTCCCGTTTCGCATTCGTCCAGATCGCGGCAAGATACTCCGTCCGGATTGAGCACGAATCCTGCAGGACACGAGCACTGGAAGCTGCCGAAAGTGTTTTTGCACTCGTGCTTACACGGCGATGAGCCGTGTTCGCATTCGTTGATGTCTAAAAAAGGAAAGGGTGACTTTCGATGATCATTCGCTAAATATTTGTTCATTACCAATGCAGTGAAGACCGTCGTGATCGGGCTTGAAACCTTTGTCGCACATGCAGCGGTAGGATCCCATCGTGTTGATGCACCTCCCGTTTTTACACAGATCCGGTATTGTTAGGCATTCGTTGATGTCTTTGCCGTCGATCGTTATGCCACTTTCCAGACACAATTCTTCGTATTCAACTGAGTATTTGGGCGGACAAAGTTCGCAGTTTGGGCCCCAAGCGTCGCCCATGGAGCAGCAGCATTCTGCTTGGGTTACGCGATTCATTTCGCGATTGTTAGCAGTGCAGTGACCGTTGACGAGTTTCCTGAAGCAAAAACCCACCCGTCTGTCTGAAATTTTTAAAAAGTTTCTCGTTGATTTGAAAGAGAAATTCCTGACTGTTTCTTGAACATACCAACGCATTTCTTCTGGTCGGGACTGGGTTCGAATCCGTTGTGACATTCGCACCTGTAGGAGCCCTGTAAGTTTACGCAACGTCCGTGAAGACATAGGGAAGGATTTTCGGCGCATTCGTCGATATCCTCGCAATCGTCGGTCATTCCCACTTGAGAATAACCGGCGGGACATATGCACATGAAGGAGCCGATGAGGTTCTTGCATTGGAACTTGCAATTATTCGCAGGCGTCAAACATTCGTCCACATCTGGAAGAGATTTTCTAGATAGTAATTAAAAAATTGATGAATATTTGTACGTGGTAACCTTGACAGTGGCGTCCGTCGGGGGAAATGGTATATCCGTATGGACATGTGCATCGGAACGATCCTGGAACGTTATGACATCTGAAGGCGCACTGATTTCCGTATTCCAAACACTCGTTGATGTCCTCGCACACCTGAAAAGAAACACAGAAATAGCAGGACTTGTAAATGTTAATGGAAAATGGTAAACTTACTTGCATCGATCCTGGAGCAAATCCTTCGTTGCAGGCACACTCGAATCCCCCCACTATATTGGTGCAAGTCCCGTTTCCACACACGTATGGATTTTTGAAACATTCGTTGTCGTCGACGCATTTTCTCCCACTGGAATCGAGAACGTATCCCGCAGGGCACTCGCATCTGAAGGAACCGTCCGTGTTAACGCAATCGCCTCCGTCGCATATGTTCGACATTAGTTCGCATTCGTTGAGATCGCTGCCGCTGTCCATCCGCCCGGGTCCTTCTGGACACAATTTTGCAAACTCCACTGAAAAAGAAAGCGACAGATATGCCGTTGTGGATTCCTTCTATTGTTGACTAATCCTTTTTACCAGATCCTTCGTGCGGACAACGTTCACAATATCTGCCCCAAGCGGCGCCTTTCGAACAGCAACATTCCTTCATGGTGGCAATCATACCCCGCGGTTCCACGCAGCGTTCCCTCTCTATCCTTTCGTAACACTGATCTTGTCTAACGTCCACACATGTGAAGGAACGATGATCTAGGATGTAGCTGCAGAGGACAAAAGGGAATATTTCTTTTGGGCTAACGAACCTTGCGATATCTAATACGTACCCTTCTGGACATCTGCACATGGAGGCTCCGTTCGTGTTGATACAGACGCCGTTTAAGCAGAGATCGGGATTGTCCACGCATTCGTCGATGTCTTCGCACATGTTGGTAATCGTGCTGAGCTTGTATCCTTCGGGACAGGTGCATATGTACGAACCCATCACGTTTTGGCATTTGCCTGGAGTGGGACAGGTACCCGGAACCTACGGAAACGAGGATCGTCCAATTCGACATATTACCCGGAGGATATTTTTACCTCGTGACATTCGTCAACGTCCCTGCAATTGTGACCGTCGCTGGATAAGACATAACCGGTGGCACATTCGCAACTGAAGGATCCCAGGGTGTTCCTACATCGACCGTTTCGGCACAGGAAGGGCATCATGTAACACTCGTCGACGTCTACGCAATCGTTGTTGTGACTTAGGCGAAATCCGGGATTGCAATGACACTTGTACGTTCCAATTTGATTGACGCATGTTCCGTTGTTGCAGACGTTCGGATATCTCACGCATTCGTCGATATCTATGCAATTATCACGCGATGGCGTCAGTAAAAATCTACGAGAAGGAAGGATTTTTTCAATAAAAAAAAATAATAATAATGTTTATTGTAAGGTACCCTTTTGTGCATATGCATTGGAAACTTCCTTGCAGGTTCTTGCATTGACCGTTGTTGCATATGTTTGGTCTTTCGATGCATTCGTCGATGTCGATGCAGTCCATGAGGGTGGGACCGTGCTTGTAACCTTCCGGGCACTTGCACTCGAAACTGCCCGGTAAATTGATGCATTGAGCGTTCCCTTCGCAAGGATTCGGCACCCTCTGGCATTCGTTTTCGTCTATGCACTGGTGCGAGTTAATGTCGTAGATGTAGCCCCTGTTGCAACGGCACTCGAAGCTTCCCGGGGTGTTCATGCACGACCCGTGCGTGCACATGGTCGGCATGAGCTGACATTCGTCGATCTCTTCGGTTTCGTTGGTCATCGGGTTGACTATTTGTCCCGGGCGTACTCCGCAAAGCGCCACGTGATCATCTGAAAATTGGATAATTGAACAGTCCGCATCGTTGAAACTTATCGTACGACTAATTTGCCACATACTCTCGCTATGTATGAAATTTACGTAGTGCGAAAGAGTTTATACCTACTGGAGCCTGGAACTGGACAGGGTTCGCACGGTTGGCCCCAAGCCTGGCCCATGGAGCAGCAGCACACCTTCTTTGTCTGGTTTTGGGTCATGGGAGTGGAACAGCGCCATCGGCTGTAGCTCAGATAGCAGATGTCTTTCCTCATGTCGACACATTCGCCTGTTAATTGGACAAAGTACGAGAGATTAAGTGGTTAGAACGTAAGAAGAGTTTCTTACGTCCTCCCGGAAGTGGCATGTATCCTTCCGGACATTGGCAAAAGTATTTCCCAGGTTCGTTTACACACTGGCCAATGTTGCAGATGTTGGGATTCTCCTCGCATTCGTTAATGTCGATGCAAATGACTCCCGATGGATCCAGTCTGAAACCGTCGTTGCAGGAGCACATGAAGCTTCCGAATGTGTTGGTGCAGTGTCCGTTCTTGCAGATGTTGGGATGCTCTTCGCATTCGTTTATGTCCTCCAGAACGACCTGGAGTATTTTTTCATGAATGGCTATTAGTTGATGTCATTCATGTATTGTAAGCGTACTTACGGTAACGTCGTTGGGTTTATATCCCGGACCTCCCGGACACAGTGCTTCGTGTTCTTTGCTATTCTCCGGAGGGCAGTGCTCGCAGTGCGGCCCCCACGCTTTCCCTATGGAACAACAGCAGGAAGCTTTGGTCACGTAATCCGCAGTGTAATCCATACATCTTCCGTAGTCGTCGAAGTTGACGTAACACCTGGATGTTCGGCGATCTGCGTACAAGACATTACGAATAGATCGTTTGGGAAAGAGGATTATCTATACAAATACCTATGCACGCGTTTCCTTCCTTGATGAGTTCGTAGTTGAACGGACAGACGCATTTGTATCCTCCTTCTTCGTTGATGCACTTGCCGTACAAACAGGCGTGGGAACTTTCGCACTCGTCGATGTCGGTGCAATTTCCTCCCGAACTGTCGAGCTTGTAGCCGTCGTTACATTCGCACTTGAACATGCCAAAAACGTTCTCGCACCGGCCGAATATGCAGAGATTGTTGAACATCTGGCACTCGTTGATGTCTGGCGAGAAAAAAAAAATTGTATAAGTCGTCATGGTATGGCAGAAAGTTGGCATAATTACCAACACAGGTCTGATCGTTTGTCGAGGACGGATGCATGAATCCCATTTCGCATTCGCACCGGAACGATCCCGGATAATTGAGGCACTGTCCGTTCTCGCAGAGAGACGCGTCGTTCGAACACTCGTCCACGTCCATGCAGGAGTATCCGTCGCCGCGGAATCCGGTGTCGCAGACGCACTTGAACGATCCCTCGGTGTTTACGCATTGAGCGTTTTGGTCGCAACCTCCGTTGTTCGTGAGGCATTCGTTGATGTCGCGACAGCTGATGCCGTTACCTGTGAAACCGTCTTGGCATCGGCACTGGTACGATCCCTGCCAATAAAACCATTATTGTAATATTTTTCGATGAATCGATGCAATATAGCTTACGGGATTGTTTATGCAATCGGCGTTCTCGTGACACACGTACGTTCCCAGGAAGCATTCGTCGTCGTCGGAGCACGCCTGTCCCTCTCCTGGTTTAACGGAATATCCTTCTTCGCATCTGCAGTGGAAGGATCCCTGGGTGTTGATGCATTCGCCGTTTCCGCATATGCTTGGATTTTCTTTGCATTCGTTTATATCTGTTGAATAGACAGTTGCATGATGATGTTGGAGTCATCGGGCATTTAGGATGTTCTTACCTAAACATGATTTTCCGTTTTGCCCTGGAACCAGTCCTCCTGTACATTCGCAAATGTAACCCCCTTGGGTGTTGGTACACTTGCCCCCGTTGCAAATCCTCGGGTTTTCTTTGCATTCGTCCATGTCAACGCAGGTGCGCCCGTCCAACATGAGAGTGTAGCCAGTCCTTGAAGAAAGAGGGGAATAATTTCGTGGAATTTTAATGTATTATTGTAATTGATTTTACCCGCAGGAACACTCAAAACTTCCGGGAGTGTTAACGCAAATGTCGTCGCAAGGCTCCTCTTCGCACTCGTCGACGTCTACAATGAATTTGAAAAATGTAATCGAAATAGATCGAATCGCATCAAGTAGTTACCTTCACAGTGAGATTTCATCCCTGTTTGTTGATATCCTTCGTTGCATATGCATTGATAGGTGCCGAGCATGTTTTCGCAGAAGCCGTTGGAACAAATCCCGCTCGTCCTGGAACATTCGTCGATATCCTTGCAGGACTTCTTGTCCGGTGCTAGTTCGTGACCAGGAGGACACTGACACCTAAAAGATCCTTCTGTGTTGATACACTGACCGCCTCTGCACAATCCCGGCGTCTCCTCGCATTCATCGATATCTGGAAGCTGGTTAGTTTAGATACATCGAAGGATCGAGACGATTTTACCATTATCTTGTTTTACTTACCCATGCAAACTTGCATCGGGGCCATGGTCCTGAATCCGTCTTTGCACTCGCATTCGAAGTCTCCCGGAATATTTTTGCAAACGCCGTTGCCACACACGTTACTCTCGGTTATGGAGCATTCGTCGATGTCGATGCATTGCAATTTCGTCTCGTCGAAATCGTAGCCCTTGTTGCATCTGCAGTTGTAGCCTCCTAGGGTGTTGGTGCATCGACCGTTAAGACACATGCCGGGAAAATCGGCGCATTCGTTTATGTCTTTGCGATCGACGAATCCGGTTCCTTTTGGGCAGAGGTCGGCGAATGCGGCAGTGCCCGGTTTCGGGCAGGGTTCGCATTTGTCACCCCACGCTTTACCAACGGAAGAACAACAGCACAAGCTCTTGTGGAACAGGCCGTCGATGGGATAGTTGCATTTTCCGTGTTTGTACCGTGCGAAACACTGCTCTTCTCTCACGTCCAGACATTGCGTTTCTGAAACGAGAACCAAAGGCGTTTTGGCACAACAGATTGTGAGTAACATTCACGCACTTACTCGTGACGTCTAGGGTGAGTCCTGGAGGACATGTGCAGGTGAAACTGCCGTCGGTGTTTACGCAAGTGCCTCCGCCCCTGCAAATCTCCGGACTCAAGACGCATTCGTTGATGTCCGTGCACGTTTTGCCGTCCGCTTTCCAATATCCTTTAGGACACTCGCATTCGCTACGGTGGCATTTTTCGCAGGGAGATCCCCACGCCACCCCTATCGAACAGCAACACTCCAACCGTCGGCTCAAGTGGGGGAGATTGTCTTCACATCTGTTGTGTACCATCTTCGTCCAGCAGGAACCTTTCCTGTTGTCTACAACGTCGAATTGAAATTCATGATTGATATATAACGAGTGGCGTTCGAATTGTTACCTATACAAACCCTGGAGGTGCTGTCCAGAACGGATCCGGGGTCGCATTCGCATTTGTAGGATCCCACGGTGTTCACGCATTCGGCGTTGAAGCAGGCCTCGGGTCCCAGATCTTTGCATTCGTCTATGTCTTCACAGACGTACGTGCTGGGATTGAGCTGGGTTCCGGTCGGACAGATGCACTGAAAGCTGCCGGGAGTGTTTCGACACTGTCCTCCGCTACAAACCTACGAAATGATTGGTACAGGATGGAACGACCACGCTCTCTCGGTTTGTTTTCTTACCAATTCTTCTACGACGCATTCGTTGATGTCCGTGCAGATTTTTCCCGTTTCGTCCACTTCAAATCCCGGATTGCAGATGCACCTGTACGTTCCTATCATGTTTTCGCAGGCGCCGTTTTGACAAATGTTCGGACTGAGCACGCATTCGTTGATGTCGTTGCCGTCGAAGGTTAGTCCCGGTCCGCTAGGACACAGGGCGTCGAACGCGTCTGTTCCTGGTAGCGGACACGGTTGACAATTCGTACCCCAGCCCATGGCCTGACCTGTCACGACTGAACAGCAACAGCAGGACGATTTCGTAACTGCAACGGTCGAAGGATTGAGACAAAGTCCGTCTTTGTACTGCTGATAGCACATGTCTCTTCTGGTGTCCAAACAGGAACGTCCGTCTGGGCCCAGGGTGAAGCCTGAATGACATTCGCATCGAAAGCTTCCGGGTGTATTGAAGCAGGTGCCGTGTTGACACGGATTTTGAACGCACTCGTCAATGTCCACGCAATGCTTGCCATCAGGACCTAATCTAGAAGAAATAAAAAGTGTTTTTTTTTTTTAATTAATCAGACGAAAGGTCATTTTGGGAACGTCCGCCGTTTACCTGAAGCCGGAATCGCACACGCATCTGAACGATCCTTCCATGTTGACGCATTTGCCGTTGGTGCACATTCCGGTGTTTTCGCATTCGTTCAGGTCAATGCAAAACGTCTTGTCGGCAGACTCCACGAATCCTGGGAGACAATCGCACGTGTAAGATCCGGGAACGTTCGAACATCTTCCGTTCAAGCATATTCGGGGATTTTCATAACACTCGTCAATATCTTTAGACAATAAAAAGAACGTGTATGTGAGTGGAAAACCTTCAAAGTTACCCGATCCTACCTATACACGCGTAGCCTGCTGGGGATAATTTGAAGCCCGGTTTGCACTGGCACTTGAAGCTCCCTTGCATATTGATGCACATACCGTTGGTGCACATGCCGGTTTCGGCGCATTCGTCGTGATCCGTGCAGATGGTTCCGTCGGGGGAAACGTCGAATCCGGGAGGACAGATGCAGGTGAAACTCCCCGGCAGATTCGTGCAGCGGCCGTTTTGGCATTTACCTTCGGCGCATTCGTCGATATCTACGCGAGAAAAAGAGAAAAAAAAATAATAAAGACATAATAATGACGCTGTTGATGACAAATCCACTAGCCTTCACAGACTCGCGAAGCTCCTTTCCTGTATCCTGGTTTGCAGTGGCACTCGTAGGCCTCCGGGGTGTCGATGCACGTTCCTTCGCCGCAAATGTCCGGCCTCAAGGCGCACTCGTTAACCAGCGAAATTATGCCAGCTGTCGGTATGCCTCCCTGTTTTGTGTGGGTCACATCGACGGTCACCGTTCCATCCTGGTGCTTTGGGGGAATATCGAAGCATAGCCTCCTATGTTCGTCTTCCCCGTGAAGAGGACACCTGACGCAATCTTCGCCCCACCCTTGGCCCATGTTCACCCCGCAACAGCAGTCTTTCTTGGACAGCTTCATCGGCAGCCTGTTTCTGCAGTAGCCGTTTGGCGATCTGGAAGTGTAGCAGAACCCCTGCCTCCCGTCAATGCAGTAAGTTTTGTCCTGGCTTTGTATGAATCCCGGATCGCACAGGCAATAGTAGCCGTTGATTATGTTGACGCATTTGCCGTTTGCGCAAATTCCTTCCTCCAGACATTCGTCCCTGTCGCTGCATTTGTTGCTGTCGGGGTTTCGTGTTTGTCCCGGGGGACATTCGCAAGCGAACGAGCCCACTTGGTTGATGCAAACGCCTCCTTCGCAAATATGAGGAATTGCTTGACATTCGTCGATATCTATCGGTGATAATAAAAAAGGCGGTCATGGCGAATTAACTATTATTTTTGCAACCAACGTACCGACACATTCCCCGGTCTTTTGGTTCCTTATAAATCCAACGTCGCAGTCAAGCTTCGAAGGACAATACTCGCAAGGATGTCCCCAGGCTTTGCCCACCGTTGCACAGCAGAGCGTCTTGGTACAAACGACGTTTTCGAGCTGGTTGGTACAGAGAGATCCTTTAATGCTTGTATAGCAAGGGCCAGTTCTGTAATCTAACGCGAGTATTTGATTTTCAATTAATAAAACATATTATGAAGGGCCTAAATGTGTCGTACCTATTTCGCAATGGTTTCCTGTGAAGCCGAAAACACAGGCGCAACGGTCCGGCCCGATGCATCGGCCGCCGTTTTTGCAATTTTCTACGCATATTGCTAAAAAAAAAACATTTTAGATTAATGTAACGTAATATTATTTTAACCATTTTAACACTCACGTTCCGTACAATAATCCCCTGTGAAACCCGGTTTGCAAAGGCATTTTCTGTCTTTACAAGTCCCGCCGTTCATGCAAATCGCTTTACATGTTCCGTCACCAGCATCTACTAAAACAACGTAGTACAGAAAAATTTAAAAAATTATTTTTTTTAATAAAAACCAAGTGATACCTTTCGAATGGGGTTGTAATCCTAGACCACACGTAGGGGATTTTCTGCCTCCATCACACAAACAAATGTTCGGATGAATGCACCGTCCTGGACCGCAGGATCGTACGCAAACAGCTACGATATAATGGTATTAAATAGTGTTAGGATTTTCGAAATGTTTAACTGGTGAAGCTTCATTAAATTATCTGTATTTTTCGGTTTATGAATTAATAAAGTACTTACGGATTAAGCACATTCCAGTTATTGGGTGCTTCGACCATCCTGTGCAACAGTACACTCTTCTATTTGATCGACATACATTAGGCCTGAAAGTGATAATTTTGACGTTTATTTATTTGTAAGCGTAATAAGAGAGTAGCTACGTAAGTGCATAATAATCTAGTAGGTTTTGCTTTCGAGTCTTATGTTTTTTCGGTAAACGTCAATATTTCTGACAACGAAATGAGACCCCGTAGAAATAATAAACGCAAGTCGACGCAATTTAATCACCGCAGTACCTCGACCCAAACCCAGCAGCAACACCAAAGTATAAATTTACAACCCGTTGTGGTATTAAAAAATTTGTCCAAGTCTGATTTGAAAGATATCGGAATAAGTGTAAGCGTTGCTGGAAAAAAGCAGGAGCAGTTGCAAAATAATCAAACCGCATCCTGCCAAGGCGAATCGTCGATAAATCGGTTCAACGCGAGGCCCGTGGACCTCAGGAGTGTGCCCAAAACCTACTCGACATTCGTGAAACCGATAACCAACAACGAGAAAGCGAATTCGACTTTACAAAGAGGAGACAGTTTGGTAGCCATGTCAGAGAAAAACGAAATAGTTGCAAAAAAACTTCGTGGGAAATCTGTAGTGATAAAACGTGTCGATTTTGTCAGGCCGGGGCCTAGATGTTCGAAACCTAAAGGCTATGAAGATAATAAGCAATGTCCCCGTGAAGTGATTAGTCTCGAACCCCATCGTCCCAAGGAGATGCTCGTTCTGGACGCGGTCGTGAGGGCTCAAGGGAAATCTACATCGGAAACTCCGAAAAACAGTCTGGAAACAATCGAGGAAGGTTTGGAAACGGTCGATACACCACCACTGCCCGAAACTGATGGGCTATTGAGTATTTCAGAGGGAGTACCTTCGGAAATTAATGTTCCCGAATATGCACCGTGTAAAGATAAAGGAAAGAAAGAAACTCCGGTCCGGCAAGAAGACGTTAACAGGAAAAGGAAAAGTATAGTTATTGGTTTACAATGCATTGACGGGAATAGGAAGGAGCAGGAGTCAAATGGAAACAACAAGCAGGACGCCAACACCAACTGTGATTTTGTTATTGTCTCCGATAAAGCCGATAAAAGGAAATGGAAGGATTTCAAAGAAAATCAGCAGGGCGCAAAAATCATAAAAATAAAAGCAAACGTCGTTAATGTGCGCAACTATTTTTACAAGGAATAGTAGCGATTAATTAATTAATTGATGTTTTTGTACACTCCTAGATAAGAGAAAACGCATGATTCTGCCTATTGTACCTTTATAAATTCTGTTACTAATTTATAAGGTTTAAAAGGAATTTTGTTAAATAAATGTTGGAAATAATTTTCTTATTATTATCATCATTGTGATTTCGATGACACGATGGACATTTACAAACTTTAGGTGTTGTCATTATTATTTTTGACAATGACAACTTTTTTTCAAACTATTTTCTTTCGAAAATTCTTGTAAAAATCAGTACAAAAAAAATATTTACGAAACAATGACTTTTTTAACGAGTAAGGGGCGAGTCTTGCTTGTGAGATTTAGCATTTTCAAGAATGTTATCAGTAAAATGGTTCGTTTCGCGAGCCAGGCTGCTGCCAGCAATGACACATTCTTATCGGGGGAGGCAGCAACGTACATCGAAGAGATGTATAAGCAGTGGAAGAAGGATCCGAACAGTGTGCACGCTTCTTGGAACATTTACTTCAGTAATGTCGAAAAAGGTATAGCCCAAGTACCGCCTCCGCATTTAGGCCTAACGAAACATGAAGTGCCCCTAACGACTTATTTGGAAATGGCAAAGAAAGCCGCCCCTGCTGCAGCTGCTGCTGCTGCTGTTACCCAACCTGCTGCTGCTGCTGCTGCTACTGCAGCAGCTCCAGCTCCTGCCGTCCCAGCTGGTCCCGTGATCCCTGTAGAAATTAGCAAGGAAATTAAAGTTGCAATGGCTGCCCAAAGACTGATCAAAAATTACCGCGACAGGGGTTACCTGGTGGCAAACTTGGACCCGTTAGGCTTGGGTTATACGCCCGTTAAAACAACCGCACCCCCTGACGGAATCGAAAAGTTTTCCGAATTGGACGGCCAAGACGGCACCAATGTTGAATTGCTTTCTCATATCGGAGGTTCGGAGAAGTCGTTACCACTTAAAGATGTCGTTGACAGGTTGAAAAAAATTTATTGTGGGACTATTGGAATCCAGTACAGCCACAATCACAATTCGAAACAGCGCAATTGGCTGAGGGATAAAATTGAAGCTGCCAATGCTTTTGATGTGACGAAAGACGAACAAAAAATCGTATGCAAACGACTACTGAAAGCGGGAGCGTTCGAGGCTTATATGGCGCGGAACTGGCCGAACGAGGTCCGTTTGAGCATCGACGGGTGCGACGCTCTAATTCCCTTGATCGAATCGTTAATCGATAAGGGTTGTGCAGCAGGAATCGACACCTTTGTTCTGGGATTGTGCCACAGGGGCAGGCTCAATGTGATTGCGAACGTTTGTAAGAAACCTTTCAAACATATCTTCTCGCACTTTTACGATTACCAACCTGACGACGCCAGTTGCACGGACATCATTCATAATCTCGGCATGATTACGGAACGAACTAATAAGGCAACGAATAAGAAAATAAAATTGATTGTTACGTCCGGTCCTTCCCATGTTGAAATTGTTTTACCGAAAAGTCTCGGTAGAGCAAAAGCCGAACAATTTACGAAAGGGGACGATGTCAGTAAAGTTATGGCGATTTTGGTTCATGGAGACGCTTCATACGGCGGTCATGGGTGCGTTTACGAGGCTATGCAATTGTCAGAAGTGGATGGATGTACTATTGGAGGCTCGGTTCACATAGTCCTCAGCAATCAAATCGGATACACCACCTTACCGCACGATTCGCGATCGTGTAACTTCAGTAGCGACATTGGTGTCGCTATGTTGAACGCCCCTGTGTTCCATCTGAACGCCGAGGACCCAGATAAGGTCGTACCGATAGCCAAAATTGCCATCGATTGGAGGACACAGTTTAAAAAAGACTTAGTCGTAGATTTGATCGGATACAGAAGGTACGGCGACAATCCGTTCGACGATCCGGCTCATGCTAACCCGACGATGTACAAAAAAATCGAAAAGATGGAACCCATATGGCAGTCGTATGCCAAACGGCTGGTCGAAGCGAGTGTAATAACCAAAGAAGAGGTTAAAAAGTATCTGGAAGACTACGAGGCAGGTTGCGAAAAGAATCTGCAGGATGCCCAAAAAGAGAAGCGGATTATATACAAGGAGTTCATCGAGAGCTCATGGGCAGGATTTTTCAAAGACAAAGACCCCCTGAAATTTGCTCCGACGGGCGTAAAGGAAGAAACACTACAAAAAATCGCTACCACGTTCTCGGCAGGACCGCCGAAAGATCTAAATTTTGTCTTGCACAAGGGTATCGAACGTACGTATAACGGACGTCAGGAACTGGTCAAGAAACGACAAGCTGATTGGAGTTTGGGCGAGGCGCTTTCGTGGGGATCTCTCCTTCACGACGGCGTTTCTGTCAGATTAACCGGTCAAGACGCAGACAGGGGCACCTTCGCCCACAGGCACCATATCATTTACAATCAAAAAGATGCCGCAACTTATTATCCCATGCGTCACCTGTTTCCCAAACAGGCAGCCTATAATGTTGTCAAAAGCGTCTTGTCGGAAATGGCAGTACTAGCCTACGAAATAGGGTACACCCTGTCCAACCCGAGTACCCTGACGCTCTGGGAAGCCCAATTCGGAGACTTCGCCACAACTGCACAAGTGGTCATCGACCAAATGATGGTTTCGGGCGAGAAAAAATGGTCGAGACAGAGCAACATGATCATGCTGCTTCCGCACGGACTGGAAGGCATGGGTCCCGAACATTCCTGTTCCAAACCGGAACGCTATTTACAAATGAGCGGCGACGATCACCAGGTCGTTCCCGAATTCACACCGGATTTCGCAGCACGCCAACTGAAGGATTGTTCCTTCATATTGGCCAATTGTACTCTGCCTGGCAATTATTTTCACATAATACGTAGACAGATCGCGATGCCTTTCAGAAAACCGTTGGTCCTATTGACTCCAAAGAGTCTGTTGAGGTTGCCGGAAGCTCGGAGCAGTTTCGACGAAATGGTCGAAGGGACGGAGTTTCGGAGAATCTTGCCCGATGACGGGCCTGCTTCGAAAGATCCGGGCAACGTGAAGAGACTGATATTTTGCAGTGGCAGGGTGTTCTTCGAGATACGAGCGTTGAGGGAGAAACTGAAGAAGGAGGCGATTGTTGCGTTAACGCGGATAGAGCAATTGTTTCCGTTCCCCTACGATCTTATAAAGGCGGAATGCGATAAGTATCCGAATGCCGAAATCGTTTGGGAACAAGAGGAGCACAAGAACCAAGGCTTTTTTGACTATTTTGCTGAACGATTCGACAGTCTGATGAAAGACAAAAGACCGCTTAAGTATATAGGGAGACCAGCCTCTTGTTGTCCTGCTTCCGGCATCGCTAACAACCACGCACGGGAAATTAAAGAGTTCCACGCCAAAACATTCGACGGAGTCTGATACACAATAACCAGTAGCAATGTACTATATTTGAATGTATCATGCGTACATAGTCTCTTATCGACTCTGTAAAGTGACTTAATTATTAATTATAAGAAAAATGATAACATTCGAATTTGTTTTTTCAATTTCAACCCACATTTTTGAGCGCCTTGCAGTCCTCGAAAAGGGGTCGGCGCGATACGACAAAGAAACCGCTCTTTAATTGAGCACATTAGGGACAATTTTACAAGAATGCAACAGTATGGGTGTGGGTGCATCCTCTGGCCTTGCAACGTCAAAGATCGTTCGCAATTGTTCAAAGAGAAACGCCTCAATTCTGCCATTACTTCAAAAACATTTTATCGGGTTCTGGTGGTTCCAAAGCTCACAAATTTTATTTCTTGAAATTACATTTACGAACTTTATGAACTGAAGCATTTCGCGATTTGTAAGCAGTTATTAGGAGAACATGTTATGTGCCACACACAAAATAGATTACCATGAAATATAGGTCGACCTAGTTTATTTCTACTCGTTAAGTAACCATTGTTGTCGACGTTTTTTATTATTACAATGGCATCTGGAATATAATTGTAAAATCGCCCAATGGCTTGTTATTTGGCTATTTATAGCGTTTGAATCGTGTTGTAGCATTTCTTTTGTTTCACGAAATTAACGTCGACATGCACTTTAAGGGAAAAGAACTCTTTTATAAACATAACGATACAGGGTGATCACTGGACGGTGGGTACTTGAAATTTTTACGACACGTTGTCCTTTGTTTTGCACTGTTGTTGTTCTTTTTCATACAGGTTGGTCGTTTAAAAATTTAATTTCGCTGATAAGGTCGAGATAGGTCCGATTATTTCCGCCGGTTTCTCATTTCGGTTATTTAGGTCGGCGGAATTGATAGGGGGACATTTTGTTGCACGTAAACGGCACTTTTTTACAGCACACGAGCGAACTGTGTTGTTATAACAATAAATAATCTTTACAACATTTCACATGAGATAGTTTGCTTTTTATTAACGAACCTATCTTTATTTACTTGACCTAAAAATCTCGCGCGGAAATTTATTTGTATAGATCTCTCCGTAATATGTACTATATGTGTATAAAACGTTCTGATGTCACCGATGTTACTTACAAATAACAATTTCCAGTTAGAACTTTAACAGACTAAAATTTAGAACTTCGTACTTACATACAGGGTGAACGACGATATGATGGAAAAACAAAAGAAATTTAACTCAACATTCATATGTAGAAGATTTTATATGTACATTTTATTTCTCAGTATATTCAAATATAATAATAGTAGAATAAATAGTCAAACACCGAATTGTTGTGAGTTTGTCGCGCGTATTTTATATGAGGAAATAATAGTTCAGATAAATAATGAATTGACGATAATCAAGGACGTGGTGGAGTTGTAGGGTTATCATCGAAATACTTCTTGTGCGTGGAACAGCCGTTAGATAACAGTTACCTAATTTATACATTCATATGCATAGGCGTTGAGACGCTCTCTTATTATTATTATTTATAATGCTGGTACATTAACTTAAGGTTTTACTATTTTTCTTTTTTGTAATGAACATTAATAACGGAGGCTTCTGTATTAGTTATCATTCGACGATACAGGATACTAATTGATAGATACTACCAGAAGGACAGTATGTTATAGTCAGCCGGAAATGTTACGCTGTAAAAGGCTGACTTGACTAATCTCTTGATACGAGACCGTGAGACTTTATTTTTACTTGGTTACTGCCACCCTCGTCGTTACAATTTATTTTATTTTTAATAGAATATAAAATACCGGTATGCAAGGGAAGAGAAAGTAGGGAAAGGGCGAATATAAAGATAGGAGACGAAAAATTAGAAGATGTGGCTGATTTTAGATACCTAGGAAGTCAGGATGGAAGGAGTAGTGGAGATATAAAGCAGAGGATAGCGCAGGGTCGTGTCACTTTTAATAAAAAGGAGTCACTTCTATGTTCGCGAACGGTTAATTTAGAAATTCGAAAAAGGTTGTTAAAGGTGTATGTTTGAAGCAAGGCGTTGTACGGGTGCGAAACATGGACAGTGGGCGCGGCGGAAAAGAAAAGGTTAGAAGCGTTCGAAATGTGGTGTTATAGGCGGATGATGAGGATAACGTGGGTAGAAAAGGTTAGAAATGAAGAGGTATTGGAAAGAATAGGAGAACAGAGGACTCTATGGAAGTCAATAAAAAATAGGCGAGATAGGTTGGTAGGACACCTTCTCAGGCATGAAGGTCTAGTCAGAGACATATTAGAGGCAGAAACAGGAGTTAGGAGGGGTAGAGGTAGACCTAGATTAGTTTACTGTTCGCAAACAGTTAAGGATGTGGGCTGTTCTAGTTTTAGGGAAATGCGAAGTTTAGCTCAGGATAGGAAAGAGTGGAGGTACGTGTCCAACCAGTCTTAGGACTGACGACCTTATGATGATGATGATGAGAATATGACGTGGAACACTGCAGTTTTATATAATTTCAACAAAATATTTTCACCTGTAGGTACCTACAATAAAGGTTCATTATCATAAGGTCATCAGTCCTAAGACTCTACCACTTCTACCTAATCTTCTTATTTCCCTAAAGCTAGAGCATCCCACATCCTTAACTGTTTGCGAACGGTAATCTAATCTAGGTCTACCTCTACTCCTCTTAACCCCTGTTTCTGCTTCTAATATGTTTGTAACTAGCCCTTCATGCTTGAGAAGGTGTTCTACCACTCTTTGTTCTATTCTTTATAATACCTTCTCTTCCACGGTATTCTCAACATTCGCCTGTAACACCTCATTTGGAACGCTTCTAACTCTTTTCTTCCTGTTGAAGGCGACCCGACCCTGCGCTATCCTGTTTCATACAAATAACAATTGGTTTTGGTTCATTTCGCATTGGAAGAATAAGAAATGGATTGCTTTTAGAAATGTTTCTCGGTTGTTGCACTGTAGAAAGTTGGAATTAAATTTTTGTTCCTTTTTATTGTGTTATAACGAGAGTAACACAAGACCTTGATCAATTTTTCTGTAATTGAAGAATATGTAGGAAACACGTTCGGTGTAAAATCGAAAACGAAATGGCTGATAGTTAATGTTTTGTTTGTTTTGTTCGGGTTAGTGACTTGTATGTTATACAAGCGGTCATTCTACTGATTATAATCTAAGTTGTATTGTTTCTATAAAGGCAATAAGCGAGCGGGTTGGTGCCCGTTCGCTGTTTGTCTTAATGTCTGAAATAACCTCTTTTTAACTGTTTTTAAATTAAGTGGGAAAGCAATTAAATACTGTAACACAATAGGGAGGGCCGAAACTCGCCGCACGAATTGCACGCACTTATTTCGTTTCAACTGTTTCACATTTTATGTTGCTTCGCTTTTCGTCAAACTATTCCACACAAAAGGGTACAAAATTTTCTACGATCGCCGCTGCATTTGTTCTGTGCCTTCGATTCGCGAATTTTTATTGGTTTCCTATAAGCCCGGAACTGCCGGTGTTTTACGATAGAATTTATGGTCCCCGACACAATAGTGAACGCCATAAGCAACAATTCTAGGAAAATCGTTTTTTTTTGCCAAGCACATTTGCTACTAATACGTCTGTCAATTAGTTAACGATAGTTCAGGTGTCTTTTTCCTCGTCTTGAAGAGACGCGTTATTATTAGTCGCTGTTTTAATGTTTTCCTTACACCTGTAGCTTCCGCGAATCAAAGCCAACAAGAATCGAATGGAACAATGATCTTTAACTAATAAATACATAATCGCCTGTGTCCAATTGGTTATTAATTTAGGTACTTATGAATTATTATTGTTCGTAAAACATAAAACATTTGAAGATAATGTGGCTGCAATATTTGCAGCGGAATCTACATCAATATGCGGTCTCATTTACGTCGTCGGTTGACATATGTGGAAGTAGTTACTAAGTAGTATGATATAGGATATTATGATATCAATAATATAATTAATAAAAGAGTCAGAGAACGAATCTTGACATTCGTGTGATGTCTTCGTTTCGAAGGAGTTGTTTATCTTATCTTTACGTCTATGTTGCATGCAAATGGAAAGTCGATCGATAGCTCGATAGTTGACTATCGATTATAAATTACTATCTACCGTAAGTGGGACGGCCGGGTTTGCGGAAGGCCACCTGCAACGAGGGGTTAATCGCATGATTACACGTTGTCTTGGTAGATAGGATAGCTCTGGGTGATTTGGTTTTTTCCTTTCTCATATGCATCTATGCATGTATAGAGAACCGATCTCGTTCTTCCTGTCCGTCGCGATGCCAATTAAGATCCGGCTATCGGCCGTCTCTAGGAGGTCCTGCGTACGGTTCAATTTGTGCTAGCACGTAAAAAGGGCACTCTGAACATTAATGATAATTATTATTTGCTCGGACGCGAACAACATGGTATCGAGCGATTGTTTATGGTACAGGAAAACAGGACTTGTATATTTATTGCGTCCAAGCAGCAGGTCTGTAAAATTCAGGATTTTAGAGAGCGGCTAATCGTTAGGAAAAGGGTAGCGGTTATGTGGATTATTTTTGTTTTGTATAAGGTGGTAGGACACTTTCTCAGTCATGAAGGGTAGTTGGAGACACTACAAGCAGAAACAGGACTAAATAAGGACGATAGGAGAAGACTTGGGTTAGATCAGTGTTCGTAAACAGTTAGGGGTGTGGGATGTTCAATTGATTGATACGTCTAAAAAATAGTTTTACTCTTTTCTTTCACAAAGATCAATGATATCGATCGACTGTTTTCTTTGAAGTGTTCATTGGTCTCACGATGCACCGAAGTATATTTTTTACGATCTTGTTAAACTGCTTTAATGCTTCTTATGTACTGTTTTATTGCTGTTTATTTTAAATTACATATACACACGTACTGCTGCGGCAGTTACTTAACATTTAATAGCGCCTCTTTTAAACTCAATGTTTCTAATAAACTACACGCACAATGCGTTGCACTCTTTTTCATTAGAAAACTCTTTCTTTTAGTTTCTTCTTGTTATCGCCACTGCTGCATAGATAAAGACATTGTTCTGTTAAATTGTAATTTGAAATAAAGCGTGAATCGAAGCGATTGTACTCGTGATGAATATAATTAATATAGACATATGTTTCGGGTTTCGCATCCGTCTTCCCTGAGCATACGTGAATGACTTATTAATAGAATAAACTGCCGAAATAGTTCGTTCTTCATTTATTGACGCGTTCCTGATGGTGGCCAGCGGGTCAGATCCGGCTTTCGTCAATTTTATTGAAGACAAGTGTAAGTGAAACGCTAGAGTTACATTATTAGTAGAGTTTTCGACGCTACTTACCCTCCCGGTACTAGGGGTGGCAGAGAGGGATGATCCGAATTCTCGGGTTCTCCGTATCGCTTCGGTGAATTGATCCGAGGAGGAGGTTCTCCGTGCAAATGTCCTGTTTTTAAAACGCAGAGAAGGACGACGTATTGCACTGTTATGAGTCGAAACCACGCAGGAAAATGCCAAGCCATTGTTCTAACTGTGGGAAGAAATAGAAAAAAAAAATTTTTCTCAATATCAAAACGGTGTAAAGAATGTTAACTACTAAAGGGATTGCTTAAGTTAAAAAGGGGAGTGAATGTCCTACGTATAAGTCCGTATTTCTTTGAAAGATATTAGCAAGAATAATCGGATAATTAAACAACTGATTAATCGCAAAAAAACCAGGTCGGTCTACATGGGTAAGGAAATTAATATTAGGGCCAAATATATCGACGCTGCGTTTAGAATTGCCAACAGAATGCCTCGATTTTGAAGTATCCTTAGTTCAAATTCCAAAGAGCATTACCAAAAGTAATAAAGGATAAAAGAACCAAAGGAGTGTACTTGTACGTTGCCCTAGCACTTGAACATTTTGATAAACATATCTTGGCTTCAGTATTTTTGAGATTCGAATATTGTGAAATTCTATCGTGCTAGAGCTTTTTCTGAGATCACATTTGAGTGTGTCTTCAAAAAATAAATTTAAAATGCTCCAAAAAGGGCGCACTACAAAGTTTGTAACCATATCGATGTCGTACCTATTCAAATATTGTCGTAAAGTATTGAAATTAGAGAATATCGTGAGAGTTTAAAATTCAAGCAAGTGAAATTAACAATATTCGGATATTCAAGTTCAAATTTTGAGATGCTGGAACAACAAGAGATACCTCGGAATTGGCTATGTACTCTCTTGGTTGTTTTGTCTTCTCAAAAAGGCAAACAATTGGGTTTTGAGTTGAGGATATTTAAAAATTTCGACGTGAGGCCAGATTTAGATTCCGAGTTGCAAATTAAGTCATAAATGATTTCCCTTATTAATTCTGTTGTAGTTAATAATCGCTCGACCTTAATACTGACCTGCACAGTTTCAGAACATATGGATAAGTTTTGTCTTTTTCACTTTTCACTTTCCGATTTACATTTTTATTATTAGCAAGTTGGTTATTATGCCATAATTCACATTAATAAAGGAAAATGACGGCAACCAGATAAAGATAACGAATGCAAAATATATTTCCGGAAGTATGTAGATAATGCAGAGCGCAAAGACCTTGCCGTTCGTAACGTATTTGTAGCGTAATTTGGAGCAGAAACTTCAGGATTACGCATCATCAGTAAAAATAAAAAAACGAAATTGAAATTAAAAATCGTCGTTCTGTAACTACGACAGACATTTAATAAAGAAAAAACTATTATTTCCGGTAGGCCTCAGACCTGTGTGTAAAGGGTTCGCCGTCGCGTACTATTTTAATTTATGTATCTTTAGACAAAGAAATTGTCAACGCAGTTGGTTGAAAGACAATTTATCAAAAGTTACAAAAAGTTGACATCAACCAGCTTTTAACCAGAGGAAGATTAATATCTGTCTTATTAAAACTGATCTTCTGCATTACGAAAGATTTTCAAGATTAATTTCCACATGCACTTGTGACAAAATGATAAATAAAAAGGTTAAAGCTCAGGGTTAGAATATTTAAAAGTTCAGAAACTGTTTCACGTGCTCATGTAGTTCGTTATTTTGGAAAATGCGAACGTGCGAACTTTTCGTTAAAAAAGAATCACTTACCCTGTCGTCGATGCTTGCGACTGGTTGCGTTTCTGCTTTTCCTATGTTACGTCTTCAGGATAGTCGGCACATCATTTATTTTATTATTATTTAATTTATTTTCGGAAAAAAGCACTAGTCTCACAATTTTTTCTAATATCCTTCGCGATCGGTGACCAATAATTATCGAATTAATTCAAAGAACGAAAATAAAACTGAACATGAACCAAACGTCGAAGAGAAATAGGAAACGGGAGTAAAGAGTAAAGCAGCGACGTCCGAAAGCGACTGCGATTGAACAAGTGCAGGATCAGAGTTTTCATGATGTGTTTCAAGATCACCCAACTTTGTACTTACCGAGTGATATCCAAAAATATACGAGACACGTTGTCCAAAAATTTTCATAAAAACCCGCGGGATAAATCGAGATAAGTAGGAAAGGAAATTCGCGACGTCCGCGAAGGGTGGTGAGGGGTGGATGAATCGATACTTCTACTTGGTATAGTTGTATCCAATGAAAGTATCGATTTATGATTAGGATTTAAAGATAAATAATAACTAATACAAAAAAAANAGACATATTAGAACCAGGAGTTAAGAAGACGTACATTAGATTATTGTTAGCAAATAGTTACGGTTTTGTGACGATTGACTCAAGATAGACTGTCTGAGGTGTCTGTCCAATTAGTTTTCAGTCTGAGAATCTCATGAGTATTCTGTAGTTTTGTCATTTCCAATGAAAGTATCGATTTATGATTAGGATTTAAAGATAAATAATAACTAATACAAAAAAAAAGATGGAAATTTAGTTTTTTATTTTGAAAAAATAACAAATCTACACGTTACTTGGCTTAAAAGAATCGCTACCAAAAGCTCTTAGTATCGAAAAGAAGTTATCGATTAAATACTGGCGTATCGTTTGATTCCTACGGGTGCCAATACTGTATAATCGATGTAGGACAAACAAAAATGAATATTTTTTATTAATCGTGTATTTCTTCATGTGTAGATAAGCATTTCTAATTTTAGAAACGATTTGGATTTGAATAAAACTTTAACTGAAAAATCTTGACATTTGACCGGTCCGTTTAGTTTTATCGTTAGAATTGCCGCAAAGCGAGACTACAATCTTTAATTATTTATCGAATGAAATTAATTAAAAACATGATAATTTATTACGTACAACATTAATTTTATCGTAAAGTTATGCTCATAATTAGAAAGCTTTAAATTTCTTACTTATAATATAATATTTTGTGAGAATAAAATCACTTCTTTGATATCACAATAAGTAATTTGTTAATTTATTGAACGTGTTCGTAGAGTTTCATTTTTCAGAAGAAATCTTTTCGTTTTTCTTCACGTGTGTGTCTCATTGGAAGACGTTAAGAAAAAAAATATCAAACTCTTATCATTGCAAGTCCATCTTGCAAACTTTTAACTTGTCTCTCGCTTGAGTCAAACATGTCTCTCACCTTTCATTTCCAAGCCTCTTTTGTCGGCGCATATTTTATTTATCGGACCCGTCGAAACGTTATCGAAAAATTTACTTGAGTATGTACATTATTCGACTTCGAGATAATAAAATGATAAAAACTAAAGAAAAGGAAAAGGAGACCCCCTATAAAAAAGTGCTGGGTCTTTCACATTTGTCATTAAAATTCGAAAAGGNATTTATCGGACCCGTCGAAACGTTATCGAAAAATTTACTTGAGTATGTACATTATTCGACTTCGAGATAATAAAATGATAAAAACTAAAGAAAAGGAAAAGGAGACCCCCTATAAAAAAGTGCTGGGTCTTTCACATTTGTCATTAAAATTCGAAAAGGGTTGAATAACGTATCTAATTAAGTTATTATTTATCTACAAGGTAATTTCAAAAATTAAATGTCCACTTTAAATGTGTGTTGTGCAACTCAACGTGGAAACCATCCCTTCGCATAGTTTTCGAGGTTTGAAAGTAAATTATTCAAAAATAAGCTTCTTCTGTTCGGTTTACTTAACACATTAGGTAATTTCAAACGAAATTTTTTAGGATGATCCTTGTATACTATAGATTGGTAGAGAAGATTCTTGTAGTTAGTTATACGTATAGCAACCCCTCACGTCCGTACAAAGGATGATATATTATTCTCGGTTGCCCATTTACATATGCGGCCCATTTCATCAAAGTGTACCGTTCCCTACGATAAGTTATTTGGGTCCAATAATCAAATGGGCTTTTTTGGAGATAAATCTGTCTCTTGGAAGTACCCCGTAATTAATAATAAATAAGTCCGATGGTTCTCGCGTTGCAACTGATCGAAGAAAAATCTAAAAAATGGGATAATTTTATTGGGTGTATTGCTTGCGTTTAAAGTGTGATGAAATCGAGTGTGACAAAATGTTATCTGATATTCTATTCTATTGTAACGTTCTTGACCCGCTATGCTTTTTTATATGTACATACGTACGTACGGACAATATCCGCACGAAACGTTGTCTGACCCGAACGCAAAATATGATATCCAAACCACGAAAAATACGAATTACATATTTACATATACATAAAATATCTGTTACTTTCTCGATATGAATCACGTTGTAACATGTTGCTTACCGGAGTTTAACTTTCCTATAAAAGAAATGTAAGAAATAACAAATAATATTAAATAATTAGAGAAAGTGTTTTGGTACTGTATCAGCCCCTATACCCATTTGATATTATTTATACTATAAGAAACACTTTGACATTTAATAGTGGTAATACAAAATAAAATATTAATGTGAAAATTATTTTAATTTTTATCCATTTAAATTACCGCAAGTTTATGAAGAAAAATTTGTTGCTATCATTACACCCTCGCCGGGAATTGAACCCGAGAGTTTCGGCTTTACACATCAATGCTCCGACCTGGGTTCGTTTCCCGGCGAGGGTGTGATAATAGCAACAATTTTTTTTCATTAACTTGAGGTAATTTGTAGTGCATAAAAATTAAATGAATTTTCACATTAATTTTTGAGATTGTTTTTTACCAATTAGACTGACATTACAAATGTAATTTATTCATTACAAATCGAAACACACAATTTTAATACAAAATTTAAAAATTTTATGGAGAAGTACCCTACTAATAGTGCAGTAAGCCGCCACTGTTGGTCGATTTCATTTTGATAGATTATAAACAGGCGAACACCCTTTAAAGCTGCGTCTGCCCGTACGTATGTATAAATGTGACTAAGGGGCTTTTGTTTCTTGTAACAAAAATGAAAATCGTGCATTCGAACGAAGAAGACCCCCGCACAATTTATTGTTTATTTTTACACCAATAGTGTCACGATTGTTTATGTTTCGTGAAAAGTTTTTCTCTTTTGTGGTTTTGAGAGCTTTCCGACTCTGTTATATTTCATTTGAACGTGTCTGGGGTATCTATAATACAAAGGGCGATTATGTATTTATTTACTTATACGTACGACAATGATCACATTGTGCTAGTTTTATTACCCACACACGCCATTTGCATTCGTCGTTGTTTAAACTTTCGGAGAAATTCTTTAATGGACCCTGTAACAGGAAACTTACGTATGTTAGCAGGTACATATTGTACTTTTTGTACGCATCGGAAGATGCTTCGATAATTTTCCAGGGGTGTTAAGACAATATTTTATATGAAACGGATTAAATAAACCCTCAGACATATTAGAACCAGGAGTTAAGAAGACGTACATTAGATTATTGTTAGCAAATAGTTACGGTTTTGTGACGATTGACTCAAGATAGACTGTCTGAGGTGTCTGTCCAATTAGTTTTCAGTCTGAGAATCTCATGAGTATTCTGTAGTTTTGTCATTTTATAGGATGAATAATGCACATATGTATAACTTATAAAATTGACAAATTTTCTCATGAATTCTTCGGTCTCGTCTACAGTCAAACTAAATTTACCGTTGCAAATACTTGTTCGTTCTTTCCTTTATGGCAAATGATAATTTCTGGTGTTTAGATAATCCATAAACGCGACACAGTTTTTCTGTTTTCTTTTTCGAATGTACGATTACCTTTTCCATCCGGAAAAACACAAAGGATATGTAAACATTTGTCCTTCCACGTAGGTGCCGTTTATTGAGGGACTGCGAGTAAAAAATGGTGCAGAATATTATTATGTAACTATGTGGAACGATGATTCTCATGGACCTTTTAAATCAACATTATCCACACTAATTTACAAGGTGACCGTTACAACAGCAGAGATGTACTCTAAAAATCTGCTTGTTCAAAAGGAAAGTAAAAAGTTCTTGCCGTCTGTTAAACTTCGTAAGGTTTTTATCGGTATAATAGATCACCCTGTATACATTGTTTTTCGAATACTAGGCGCGTAAAAACCTAAAAGTAACAAATAATGGGGTGACGCATCCGTTTGTCTTTTTCTTAGTTTTTCTTGCTCGACAATCCTTTGGTTTTAAATTACAAAATTACTTTTCTCCATGGTTCGTTAACCCTAAATTACAAGCTTCATCAAAACCGATTACCATTTGAGGACAAACAATACGTCCATTCTTTGTGTACTGCCTGTCTCACTTCAATAATTAAACTAGGTGCTTGATGCAAATTTGCACCTCGAAATTTTTATTCGAAAATTTAGAGATTTTTTTGATTTTAATACGGATCTGTAAGAACAACCCCTTTGAAATCCGCCACGTCTTTTCGTGTGTGTTTTAGAGGAACAAACAAAGGTGCAATAAATTTATAACCAAACAGCACTACTATTCTCGTAGGTAGTTCAGTAGGTGAAAAAAATAGGTTTAAGAATTTACAAAAGCAATATTTAAACTGATAACGCGTTTTGAAATAGCGTTTATCTACTACCATATAGAGATTGGGACGCGGGACAAGTACATCACTGTCTTTTTCACACAATAAAACATTAACAGTAATTAACATGTTGGCCCAATAACAATTAAAAATTATTTATTGAATGCCGTACAAATATGTAGAAATATCTTCATATTTTAAATTTAAAATTCATAATAGTTGTTGAAATTAT